TTTAAAGAACCTATTATAAAAACACGATATTATTGAGGGGCTAGTAGGTCCGCCGACACAAAACTACTTTTACCCCGTTGTTCCATTTTTATTGTTTTCTGATTTATGTTGAAAATTTCTCAGAGTTATGAGGGCATATTTTAAAGTTCACGGAATGGGGGTAAGAAGTGGAAATAAAAATCCGAATTTATTTTTCCTTTTCAATATATTCACCTGCTACCCTAATAGGTACATTGTTCGTATCTTTCAATTAACTTATGTATACCCTCAAAAAATGATTTGTCTTTGTCTAAAAATATATCGAAACTGCTTCCTTCACTTCTTCATCACTTAAAACTTTTCCCACGAAGTTCTTTTTTAAGTTTGGAAATAGATAATAATCACTGAGGGCCAGGTGAGGACTATAGGGTGAGTGTGGCAAAATATCGAAGCCCACCTTCTGCAGGGCAGCCATCGCAACATGGCACTTGTGAACAGGCGCGTTGTCGTGCAGAAGGATTCCTTTGGTCAATTTTCCCCTTCTTTTCTCCTTTATGGCTTCCTTCAATTGTTCTAGGATTGAAGCGTAGTAATTTCCGGTTATGGAGACACCTTTATCTTTATAATTAATCAATAGGATTCCTTCTGAGTCCTAAAAGACTGTCGCCATGATTTTCCCAGCCGATTGTGCCACCTTAAATTTCTGGGTGGTGGTGTGTCTTTTTGTGCCACTGCATAGAGTTCTGTTGGGACTCAGGTTCATAATGGTGAACAGGGTTGGCAATGTTTAAAACGTTTGTTTAAAACAAGTGTTTAAAACACTGTTTAAAACACTGGAAAAAATACATACCTGTTTAAAACACGTTTTAAAACATTTTGTTTTAAACACGTTTAAAACATATATAAAAAACGTTAAGTTTTACAACATTATAATTAATCCTAACTATTTTTTTTTCGTACTTTTTAAAATTATTGGCAACATTATAATTTAAGGTGTATTGTAAATTGTGATGGCAATTCTAGCTGGCGGCTGACGGAGATTACCCCAGCAGACTACAATGAGCGAACGAGTAAGGTATTTTTCTACTCTGAGTAAATGGGAAAGGGATGAAGATAGTTCGCTCCGCTTGTATTGTACTGCGGTATTTTTCTTATTGTCATTGTAGATTATTCAGTGAGACTGTAATGACTAGTGAGTGATAGATAATTTGATTGAGTTTCGTTCGTTTAGTATTTGTTTGTTTGATTTATTATCAATCTGGAATACTCTGGATCTGCATTCTGCCTGCCTGCCCTTCCAAAAGAAAGAATGTCTACAAGACGAAAAAAGGATTCGCTTTGGCAGTACTTCAGAGAACTGCCTGCATCTACAACAGGGGGTGGTGCAAAAACACTCAGGGCGAAGTGCAAGTATTGCGGGAAAGATTTGGTAGGGTTTCGCCTAATGAGGGCACATATAACAAATTGTTCAGATTATGCGGCTAAAAAGTCAAGCCCATCTACTTCGAAAGCAAGAATCCAAATCCATAATGATTCAAGTGAGGATGGTAAGTAAATACTTGTATTTTTATATAATGTTTGTTGCTTTGTAGATATCTAATACCAACTTAAAGTATATACATTTCAAACGCAATGTTATTCTGTATATCTGTCCCTTAGTGAAATTGAAAGGACATAGTATAGTTATTATGCCAGAAATCATACTTGAAGGGGGTGAAATGAAAGGGGGATGTAAGTTTGTATGAGGAGCCAGTTTTTCCACGCAGACAAAGTTGCGGGTACCCACTAGTATTGCATATAAATGTGCGCCGTTTATAATTTGATTTCACTATTTTTATTTATACACTTTTTAGCTTTATTTTGAAATGTACCATTAAACAGTTGCAAATAAATCCTTATTCAAATTTAATCTTCCTGAAATTTATTTTTTACCTAAATACCTAGTTAGTTACACGTTTTGTGTGTAAATATATATATATATATATATATATATATATATATATATATATATATATATATATATTGTACACAGTTTTTTTTTCACAGACAGTGAGGCAGATGGAATCCAGACCAATGTTGAGCCTATTAGCAAAAATCGAGGCAGGACTCATCAGCGTCGTCAAGTCGCTCAATAATGTCGATGTCACAATATGTAGTGAAAACATCAGAACAGGAAAAGCATAAAATAGATTCAGAAGTTGCCAGATACTTTTATGCAACGAACACTGCATTCCTACACTCTGAGCATCCAGAATTTGTCAGTTTGATGCAACTAGCTCGAAGACTATGTACCACGTAAAAGAAAAAAAATTGGCGGAAATTTGCTAGACGAAGTGTATGGTACCGTAAAATCAAATATGGAAAACAATTTGAAAGGAAAAGTGTTTAATATGGCACTGGATGGTTGGAGTAATATACGCAATGAACCTATTGTGTGTGTTAGTGTAACCACTACTGAGGATGATGGTAAAGTTTTTCTCACAGATACAATAGATACTACTGACAAAAGTCACACTGTCAGGTCATACAGAGTTGATTATTTATTCATTTTTTGTTGAAGAAATAAGTACTGTTTTTGTTCTGGTGTATTGTTTTACAATAAAAAACTTCTTTCATATTTTATCGTTTCTTTTAATTTCTACCTTCCCCTTATTTATCCCAATCGCAAAACAACTCATTTTTTAAGTCTTAAAAAAATGTTTTAAACATGTTTTAAACGTGTTTAAAACATGTTTAAAACATTTCAAATAAAACATTTATGAAAAATTGATTTAAAACGTGTTTTTTTTGTTTTTTGATTTAAACATGATGTTTTGTTCTTTTTTAAAAAAAAACTGTTTTTTTTCCAACCCTGATGGTGAACCCAAGTTTCGTCACCAGTAACAATTCGAGCCAACACTCCATCTTTGTCTTCCATACAAAGGTCCAAATGCACGAGAACACTCCAGCGCGCTTATGAGGCGGCGTGAGCATTCTAGGCACATCTTGCGCTGACTTTAGTCATGCCAAGACGGTCATGAAGAATTTTGAAAATGGTTGTATCTGATACTCCAACAATTTCTACGAGCAGTTTTTTGTTTAGGCAGGCATCTTCTAATATTAAAAATTAAAAGAAATTCGACTTTTTGAATAATTTCTGAAGTGGTCACCTAGATCGGCCTTCCTGGTCGTGGGTTCTCTTCAAGTGACTCTCTGCCTTATTTAAAAAGGGTATGCCACTTGTAAACCATAGTTTTACTTGCACAAGAGTCTCCGTAAACGGATGACATCTCTTCCAGTATAGTCTGAACTGATTTTCCGCGCTTGGTAAGGAACTTTATAACGCCACGACACTCGATTTTCTCCATATTTCACAATTTTTTCTCAACTGACTTGTTTGGTTGACGATAACTCAAAGACTAATGACCTAATTACAATAAAACCCGGTATTTATGTTAATAATGAGTTGCTCATTTAGCACGTAATTCAGCGACGTCCCCACTTATTACCTACCTAGCCATTCCGCGAACTTAAAAACGCACCTACGTATGTTTCCGTCAAACATTTTATTTCATAATTTCATCGAGTAGTTTCTGTGTAGTGTTGTATACTTATAAATCACTTACAATCGCTAGTATGTACCAATCGATAGAAAATTAAAAAAAAGATACGCCGTTTTCCCATCGAGACCTATTAGCATTCCTGACAAAAACTTCACGACCGGAAGTGCCGCAGATAGCATACAAATGCGGCCGTATTAAGTATTTGTAGTGCGACATGTTACTAGGAATCCATTACGGGTATGGAGATTCGAACATATCTGATTATGCTAATATGCATCATGTGCACATTAGCATGAAGGTTACATTTCAATCTATCGGAGTTGATGAATAATTTATTCACAGTTTGCCGTTTTTGGTGTTTGTTGCGCATTTAATATGATTGCTTTGTATTGTTCCAAATGCATAAATTGTTAACATAGGTAGTATATCACCACCTCAATAGTCCACTGCCGAACATAGGTCACAAAACACCGTCCTGAGCTACCTGCATTCATCTACTTCCCGCATGCCTTACTAAATCGGGAATCGTCTAAATAGCGATATCGGCCTCGTCGACAACTTCCTAATATACTCGGGAACTATTACGTACACAGGAGAATTTATGGCGCCATAAAGAAAAGCCGGTAACACCGGAACACTAGGCATTCACTTGTTACAAATCCGTTTAAACTGTAGCTATGTACGTATGCTTATAATGTTATTAGATGAAAGGTAAAAAAAACTTTCCTCCCATCTAACAACAGTCTACCCTTCGTAATCCATAGCTGAACATTCTCCCAAACTATATTTTTTTAAATTTAAAACCTAATGATTTCTTAAATTTACATTGAATTAAACCACAGGTACCTATGTACGGATTTTATCGCGTTTAATAACTTATTTTTAATTCCCGATGTTTCGGGTGCTGTAAAGCACCCGAAACATCGGGTAACGGCCCACCCTTACTGAGATGTTTGACGTCTCAATGTCCTTCAGTTTTTGAATATTAATTTTTGTTCCGATCTACGCAGAACGACCTTGCAGTATCTTGAAGTCTTGCAGTTTTATGTTCGGGCTTTACTTTTATTTTTTTTATTATTAAAGTAGTGAACTAAAGTGGATAATGAATTAACAATCCACCTGATGGTTAATGGCTACTGTGGTCCATAAACACTTGGGCCACCAACCATCAACTCAGAGGCCTGAGATGTAATGTCTCACAGAGTGTAATCATACTGTGTCTTTATGTCCCGTCAGATATCCATCCCATAACACACAGTGTGAATAACCGTTGAACCTGCGACGGGCAGCTATGTCACAGGTACGAGACTTCTGGATCTGCTATCGGTAATCCGTCCGCCAAGCGTGGCCATTAACACAAATCCGTCAGCGATTGAAACAAATCTCTCCAACAACGATAGAGGCCTCTATCCAGCTGTGATGATGACCTGAGATTAGGATGATGACTTATGAACTTATGATTTATTTTTCATTTTTCAGCTCAAGTTTCAATGGAAAGCATGATGGTGGGCGGCGTTGGAGTCGGTGGTGTGGGTTCGGTCGGAAGCAGTATGTCCACCGTCGGAGGCTACCAACTTGTCAGAGAGCCAACTTCCGGGGCTTTGTTGTTGCTACCGGCGCCACCAGACTTGCCTCACACAGTTGTATGGGGCGGCGTTCCTTACCCTCCTGCTCCCCTCCTACTTCCCCCAGCCCCCCACCCCTCCCACCATCTCCAACTCCTACCAGGAGAACTTCTTGCATCTACTGCTACTTTACAACATACTCACACACATTCAACAAGACTAGTGACTCTGGCTCCGGCTCCAGCCCCACAACAACACTCCGCACACACGGTGGAGAAACGCAAGCCCATGATGCAGCCACTAATAACGCCACATGCTCTAATAAAGATCGAGCCAGAACCGCCACAAGAGAAACCGCCCCCGCAGTTTGTATCCGAACCGGTCCAACAACCTCTACTCACGCATCTTTACTATCAACCCGAATATTCTGAACAAGCGTGCCGGAGTCAAGCCACATCACCAACCGCTCCCCCAACCCCACCTCCGGACGCCCCAGAGGGCCCGGCACACAAAGACGCCTCCAATCAAACTGACCATATAGACGATGAAGACGATTCGCCGAACCACGCAGATGAGGACGAAAGAGAAATCGCTTGCGTGGGCGTTGCTCACTTCCCAGAAGAACCGACAGTTTTACAGTTACAGCCTTTACAGCCGCCGCCAATAGATAGTGCGGAGGATTCATCTTCGGAAGGTTTGGCGACCTCGGCAGTCGTGGGAGCCGTGGAGAAAGCAATAGATGCAATTGAGAGGGACGATTCGATGGATAACTCAAGTAGTGGGGGCTCCCATGATTTAATTATTGATACGACGAGGACTTCGCCAGTACCACCACCGTCACAGTCCACACGGCCTATTGTCGACGTCAGTGGGTTGGAACTCCTATCGAATAGCATTGAGCAGTTCGAAAGGACCACACCAGGCGCAAGCATGCCCAGCATAGATCCAACACCATTAACAATCGACACAAGGCCCACGACCAAATTGAATATAATGATTAAGACGTCACCTAAATCACCACCACGAACAGACACAGAACCTCACAGAAGATTCGAATTTCCATCAAGTGAACCAACAACCGAGCTAACGAAACCATCCCTTGATGGTTTAGATATATTGTGCGCTTTAGCAGAACAGAGATTTATGGAAGAGGTAGAAGAAAGCCCATCGACGGCTCTGCCACTTACCACTCGAACTTTTATCAAAACAGAGCCACTGTTGAGTCCACCCGAAATAGACAGATCCGCAGAATCAGCCAAGAAAGACAGACATAGACATAGAGATGACTCTTCAAGTGAAAGGAGGAGAAAGAGGAGCCGTGATAGAGAAGAGAGGTTAAAACACAAGCTGGAGAAAATGCGACGTCATAAGCGGGAGAAAGACAGAGAGGGAAGGAGCAGTGGTGGAGAATTAGAAGCGAGTTTAAGGCGAGTTACGGCGTGTTCATGTGGATCCATGACTTGCACGCATTCGCCTTCAGTGCCTTCCGCTCAAGCTCTTGTTAATGCGATGGAAAAAGATATGCGGGAACGTTTGCAAGAACTCCAACGTCAGTGCGATGAAAAGAGAGCGCAACTTAACGCTTTGACCCCTCCTCTGCCAGCTTTGTCTACGCCACCCACACCATCCACTCCTGCGCTCTCTCCGAATTCAGATAGAGGTTCATCAAAGAAACGCAAAGTGGGCAGGCCTCGAAAAGTGTCCAGTCCGGACTCAACGGAGACTATCGTCGCAAAGAAACCTAAATCAAAAAGCAGTTTAGTCGGCTACCTATTAGCGAAAGGTAAACTAAAAGGCGGTATATTATGTACAAGGGGTGAACCTTCTAGAGACGAAACGAATAGGACGAGCAAAGTCCGACCAAAGTTAAAAGCAGAGCCGATTTTGAAAGTATATTCTGAGGAAGATGAGACCGAGGGAGGCCTTAACAGATCTGCTAGCTCTTCAATGGAAAGTTTAAATGAAGTGCGACAGAAAAATAGAGAAAAAGTGGATCGTCTTGTTCGTAAACACTCCAGAGACGATCTTCCTGAGTTAGAACTGACTATTCGCAGAGCTAGCGCGTCTAGTGATAGCGATAAAGAGAGACGTCGTGCGAAAAAGAGACGAAAGAGTCTTAAATTTAAGGAAAGACCCCCCGAAGATTCAAAAGAAGAGCCTACTGAACAACAGCCAGTTTCAAGATGTACTTTAACTGAGGAAAAATTAGATTCGTCGCCACGAGTGCTAACAGCTATGGGGGGATTGTTCTATGCTGGAAAACTGAGCGCGGTACAAGCACCTGATGTATATGCAATTACTTTAGACGGAGAGAGGGGTAACAAACCGCATATCCTGTCGAGAGAAGAGACTTTAAGAGACGCTGTAAGTATATTATATCACATTAATTTCTAACTTTTATGCACATACATTTTTACACTACTAAATTTGCTACCAAATTACGTACATCTTTTAAAATATTTCTTCTGCCGACTTTAACTAAAATTTTTCAGAACAATCACAAGGCCGGTCCTAGATCAGGTCCACATTTGATCATCTTGACGTATCTTGATCTGATGTGATATTTCAAAGCTAATTTTTCTCCATTTCTCTTTTATTAAGTCCAAACTTTTCAAGACTATGATATTATGGCGTGTAAAAAACCGACTAGAGAGAGATGTGACGAGACGTATCAGGTAAAAATCACGACATGTGTATCCGATACTAGGTTTACGATATCACGATGACGTATTTATTACCTGATCGCATATAATTTTACGTCCCAGGTGCCAGCTAGCGATTGTGACACACGATTGCGAAACTCGACCGCAATACGATATAACTAGATGATCAAATGTGGATCCGGTTTTTTTGCAGGTATCATAACAGCGCTGCTAACATTAGAGTAAATAAACGAAGCATATACTTCTTGTTTCCCCTCAATACTTGATCTAAATTTTATGGTTTAAGACATTTATTTTATCAAAAGATTTACAAATCATTTACAGAGGAAACTAATTAATAAAAAAAAAAAACATTAAGCCGATTGGCGTAGTGAGTTAGTATTATAATAGGTCGCTAAAACTTATTTAGATTAAATTTAGATCAATTAATCAAAAAAACTTTAGATTCTAAAGCTTATGCGATGTACGTCATGTAATTTTTACGGTGAATGGTGTATGGGATTCTTGATTAAGACTTCTTTTATTTTGCTTCTTTTTAGGTACTTCAATATATTTAAATTTATTTTAAAATAACATCACCTTTTTTAATTCTCTGTTGGATATAGCCTTTGCTTTAATGTTTTAAAGTTGTCTCTTAAAGTGACTCACTACATGGGAGCACAGAGTTGGCAACCTCGCATGTCATTTTCTTACTTCATCCATAAAAAGTAAATTAGCAATTACAAGGCACGTGGCTTAAAGTTTTTAAATGCACGATAAATAAACTATAAAATAAACCATATACTACTTCTCTACATTTCCAGATTCTAGAAGTGAGTCCGACGTCAGTATCGGAGTTGCCTTCCGGCACTAGAGTGTGCGCGTATTGGTCCCAACAGTACCGCTGCCTGTATCCCGGAACAGTTGCACTTGCTTCGCCGGACCCGCACGATGATAAGTTCGTGGCGGTCGAGTTCGACGATGGGGACTCCGGGAGGATTGCTATTGAGGACATCAGGTTCTTGGAGCCGAATTATCCTATAGTTGGTAAGTTTTTGTTGTTCTTTACCGCCTATTATAACCAAGACGTGAGGCGATGCGACTTGATGGTAGAGACACGTTGGAGCATATTATGGTTGCAGCGTATAGTTCGGTTCGACCGGGGTAGGACAACACTCTCACCAAATTCTAGTGTAAAATAGTAGCTTAATGCTGCCATGCTTCGTATGTTGAGTGTGGAGAACCGGAGACCCTTTTTACTGGAGTCGACGCATTCCATCTTAGTACTCAGGGTTGACAACGCATCTGCGTTTTGATTCTTAATCGGGAATAAATGTAATTGTCTATGCGCCACAGCATTCACTTACCATCAGGTGAACTGTGCGCTCGTTTTTAACCCTTATTCTATAAAAAAGAGTGTTATGTTTATTTGTGTGTGTCTATTTCTTTAGCATGCTCTGTAGCCTAAATGGATTGATCGATAGACATATGGAGGATTTTTTTTTTTTTGTGTTCTCAAGATTTTTTATATACTGTTTTACTGTTGGACTTGTTATTTTCAATTTAACTTGTTTGTTTTATTATTAAACTTTGCTTTTCAGAGTACGAAAACACGCTTTTCACACTCGGCAAACGGAGAAGAAATACGAGCGTCACAGAAGACAAAAAAGCCGTTGCTTCCACAAGCGCAGAAATTAAAACAGAACCTGCATCTCACGTGCAAGCTCAAGCGGAGGAAAATACAGAGGAAGCGGATCGGCATAGAGATCGGAAAAAGTTGAAAAAACACAGAAAAGAGAAACTCAAACGTATACATTCAAGTGAGGAGGATCCGAATTCTGTTGAATACGTAAAGAAAAAGAAAAAGAAGCACAAGTGCTGCGAGGAACACTGCAAGCACAGAAGACATCATAAGAAACATCATAGAAAACACAAGAAAAGGCATCATTCAAGCTGCAAGGAACATTCAAGTTCATCTGGTGATGACCAACACGGGCGAAAATCAACATCCGATTATATTGACTCCAACAAATCTAATGAAGACTCCGGAGATTCTAACGATAGGCTATCAACTCTGATAGCTGTTGAAAAGTCTCCAGATGAAAAAATGAAAACGGTCATCAAAAAGGCGGTCTTGTCAAAAAAGAGTCTTGTGAAGAACGCTATATTGGACTTTAGCAATATCGGAAAGTTTGCTCTGAAGAAAGACGAAGATTTTAAAGATAATTTGAAGGATAGTGGAATAGGATTGGAACCGGGAACGCCGTCTACTTCTGTAGTCGATGTCCCGAAAAAGGTTAGAATATTTTTGGAACTTTCTTATGTTTCTCAGTTTCTTTGTTCGTCAGTAACTTAAAACAAAAAAATCACCCGTGGTCACTAGATAAATATTTTTTTATTTATAAGTTTTCTTCATGCAGTCTTTTCTCATATATTTATACTATTTTCTTTTCTTTTATAGGGATACATACGGTTCTATAGTAACTTTAAGCGATCTGAGATCCACGGTCCTTGGAAGACCATGTTTAATCATGCAATATAATTACAATTATTTACAACACTGCGTTTACAATGGGGGGCAAAAACCAATCACTTATTCTTCTCCTCGACTTTAACTACAGTGGTAACGTGCAAACACCATTAAAATAATTTGAAATGTGCAGGAGATATTACAGCAACACAATTTTATTACAAAGCATTCAGTCTTCTTTACATTTACATTTATGGTGAGATGAGAATTTCAAAAAATTTCGATCTGATTGCCAAAAATAAAATAAATATAAAATTTTAAAGCACTTAAATTTTGTCATAACGTAAACGTTACACAAACTGAATAAATTCAAAGCAAAAGAAAGTTAATATAAAGTTTTTCTACACATATCATCTCAATTTGGTAGTTATACAAGGTAATTCTAATCTAATAAACTTTGCGGACATATTATTTTAAGCTTTGCTTTGTCGCCCGGTGATGGGGCTCCTTTTTTGCCCAAAAGCCCGTTTGGATCGGCACCATCGTCTTCGTTCTATTACTGCTACGTCTAATACAGCTTAATGATCTAGTATGATAACATACTACGAGGGCTTTTCTAACTCCTGAGAGGTATTATTGCATGTTTCATTACAAATTCATTGGGCTTTACTGCTGTAAACACATTATTCGGTAGCTGTTAGTTTTTTAGCGAACCAGTGAAACTGTCAGTTTTTTAAGGGGTTTACAGTCTCATGAACGACAGACTACAAAGCGAGCGTTCAAACTGGCGCAGAATGTCACCTACATAAGCCCAATTTAATTTGGATTCACATTGCCTTGTTAGCCTTTCTAGTTCACTGGTGGATCTCATTAGTAAGTATTTCTAATTAGAGCTAACTCCCTTAAGGGATGTGGGGGGGGTTTTTGGGGGGGGGGTTGGGGGGGGGGGGGGGGGGGGGGTTGGGTGGGGGGTTGGTTGGGGGTTTTTGGGTTTGTTTTGGGGGGTTTATGGTTTTTGGATTTTGGAGGTTTTTTGTTTTTGTTTTGTTTGGTTTTATTAAAATAAAATAAAAAGGGGAGGTATTTTTGTTTTTTTTTTTTTTTTTGGGCCACAAATTTTTTTATTTTGTTAAAAAAAAAGGAGGGGGGTTTTTTGTTTAAAAGGGGGGGGGGGGGGGGTTGGGGGGGGGGGTTTATATTTTTTTGGTGGTTATTTGAGTGGGGAGGGGTGTTTTTTTTTTTTTTAATTTTTTTTTAAAATTTTTTATTTTTTATCTCCTTTTTTTTTTAATAAAAATTTAATAAAAAATATTAAAAAAAAAAAAAAATAAAAATTTTTTGGAATATTTTTTTCTTTTGGTTTTTTTTTAGATTCAGAATGACGTATATTTTCAAACTCAAGGCCGTCTCTCTAATTTCGTTTTTATTTGAACTCAGATATCTTCAGATGTCCTTTGCCAAAAGTTTTTTAAATCAATGTCGAAAATCGCCATTTTGAATCGAAACCCGAATAGAATTTAAAAACAATTTCGGGAGTAAGCCCTCTGATTTTAAATGTTTAGAAATTTCTCGATTGTGGGTTAGTTACGGTTTCAAGAGGTCCACATTTAAAATACGGTCAAATAAAATTTGCGATAGATTCTGAAACTCAATTCTGTCGGGAGGGCCCGGTACTTTAAAAAAGCTTATTTTAAAGTGAGTGGTTACTGGGGTTGCAGAAAACGAAGAAGCGAACGGTGTCGTCGACGTCGACTGACAGCGCTCTGGTAGGGGGCGCGGGGGGAGGCGTCAGCAAGATGGCGGCCTTCCTTCCGGGCGGTGCGCTGTGGCGCTGGCACGGACCCCCCTACCGTCGCACCGCGCGGCCCAGGCATCGAAAGCTGTTCTATCGCGCGATACAACGTGGCGAGGAGACGTTGCACGTAAGTTGTCTCCGTTTTATTAATATAATAGAATTTTATTTAATATAGATTATATATAGTACTTATTGAAAGTCACTCTTATGCATAATTTACCACTGGTTCGGAAAATACCTCTGTCCTGGGAAAAAGAACGATCAAAAAGTCGTCTATGGGTCCACACGGCATCCACTTTTCATATTATGTGCTCACCGTGCTTTTCTATAGAAAACCTATGTTATATTTTTCGATTATACAACAAGTCCTAGTATATGCTTCACCGTGTCAAAATGTTATCCACAAAATAAGAACAAACAGGAATAAGTAATATGCTGTAAAGGCCGCCTAAAACGCGACCAGCGTAAAAGCGGTCACTCACATTCGTTTAAAGTTATTTGCAACCAACAATATGGTTTTAGGTTCATATATGTGCATCCAGTAGTGAACATTTACGGGCTTACAAAAAAAGAAGAAAGATGTGTGTATTGTTTTCTGTTGTCTTTCTTAGAAGTATAGGTTTGCGGTCGACTGGGGAAGACCACATTCCGGTAAATAGAGCTTATATGGTTTCGTATGGTGAATGTAGAGACCTGGGGACCTTTTTTTACTGGAAACGAGGCATTCCATCTTAGTCCTCAGGGGTGACGACGCATCTGCGTTTTGATTCTTAATCGAGGATACATGTAGATGTCTATGGGCCACAGCATCTACTTACCATCAGGTGGTCAATGAGCAGGTCAATGAGTCGCCCATAAATTCGTATAAGACATAGAAGATATAAGAGGTCTGGTGCTTTCACGTACCGAGGCTAAGTATAGTTTATAGCAAGAATTTCTTCCTTGTACATAAAACACATACACATAACGTAAGGCCTGTAATTCCCGAGTGGGTAAGCGGAATCCAAGGAAATTGTGGAAGAAATGATATGATGTGACTAGCATTTGCCCACGCAAATACAAACCCAACATCCCATTAGTCGCCTTTTACGACGAGCTAGGCAAGTAACATAGAGTTGGCATATTCATTTTTTTTTTGTTAGAAGGCTCCATAAACATGGAATGTAAAGTTCTATACTATCATAGAGTACGTATTTAATGTGTATTTTGTACTTAATATAAGGTAATTTTATTTCTATTTTTTATTGAAAAAATAGTAAAAGTAATGGATAGATTAAAGATATTAATGAGGGCTCTTCCACACATAATATGAAAAGTGGATGCCGTGTGGTCCCATAGACGACTTTTTGACCGTTCTTTTTCCCAGGACAGAGGTCGTTAATTTTTAATTGGATAAATGAAAGTGGAAATATAAAGTAGCAGACAAGCATAAAGTTTGTGCGTGTGCGTGTACGTGCAGGTGGGCGAGGCGGCCGTGTTCCTGTCGACGGGGCGTGCCGACCGGCCGTACATCGGGCGGCTCGTGGCGCTGTGGGAGGCGCGCGGCGCCATGGCCGTGCGCGTTGAGTGGTTCTACCACCCCGAGGAGACCGTCGGCTGCCGCGGCCCGCTGCGCTATCCGGTGAGTCCACCCTGACCCTATGAAGTCCTGGTATAGTCAAAGATTTAAATAGTTAGATGCGCCTTCCACCTTGAAAACTGTGGCATTATTTTTGGATGTGTTCGTATGCAAGACGCTAACGCGCGCACACTAAATGTAATAGTGTCATCTCTTATTATCTTACAGAAATTGTGCATACTACTTTCTCTGTCGCACAAATGAGTACTGATTGCGAATGAGTGAACTCACTCATTTAACGACTCCGTGGCGCAGTGGCTTAGCAATGAGTGGTAGCGCTGGGGGTCGCAGGTTCGAATCCCGCACGGAACAAGTATTTGTATGGCCTACAAATAGTTGTTTCGGGTCTCGATGTTTGTCCTTGTGCAATTTATGTTTGTAAACTGCCCCCACGATACAAGAGAAACTCCCAGTGTGAGGGTAACGTTTAAAAAAAAGAATGGTCACATTTTCGAGTGGTCATACTCAGGGCGCATCTAACTATTTAAATCTTTGGGTATATATAGTTAGGACTTGTTGACACCCAAATTATTTATGTATAATTGAATATTAGACCGCCAATTCGGAAACAAAACTGTGTCCACAGCTAAGGATCGAAGAAGGGCAAATAAATGGCACGGCAAATATACCATACTTAACACAGTCTTTTTTAACGACAGTGTTTAAGCAATAAGAAATAAAGTTACGTATTTATCTGAAATAAACTTCAAATCACAGTGACAAAGTGCGCACGTAAATCATGACAGCGTTTCCTTAATCGCATTAAATAAATTCAGTGTTAGACTTGAGAGAACGTTCCCGCTATACACACAAAGAACTAGTATTCTTGCTCTCTCGGAGGAGACTAAACAAATTACGGGAAATTGACCGTAATTTAGAGCATAATGTATTAGTATTATTACCGCAGTACAGATCTACTCTAGTAGTATACCTACACAGAAGTCTGCTGCTGAGTCCGGTTATTGGTTACATTTTCGTACTGCCCGTAGAATTAGATACGATATTCATGTAAAAACTGTTATTATAAACAAGCTACTTGTTTGATGTATAAATAAGATTAAAGACGTACGTAAATTTTATAGAAATAATTTTTCGAGGCTATTCGTTACATTTTTTTTGAATTTTCATCGAATGTTTATCGAATAACAGTTAAAACTGTTGATATGATATAAATATGATTTATATTATAATTTCTTCTCCTTCATTCAACGGGGAGAGGTGACTCTTTTGTACATTAATTCTTATAATCAATCCAATTGGTCAATTAAAAAACTTATGAATATACGTATTAATTACATTCGTACGTATTATAATTTAAATTCATATCGTCCTCAGTTTGTCGTGACGTGACGGCGTAAGATCTTTTCCATCACCCAATTTCGTCCCATCGTGTCGTAAGATGCGGCTATATTTTTGTTATTCTTTCTTCATTCACTCTTCTACATGACTAAACCACGGAGGCGTTCCTTCTTTAATTACAGCCCTTCACAAGTCCACTGCTGAACGTAGGCCTCCCCCAAGTAACGCCACAAAGCACGGTCCTGAGCCACCTGCATCCATCGACTTCCTGCATGTCTTACCAGGTCGTCACTCCATCTAGTGGGGGGTCGCCCTACACTACGCCTACCGGTACGAAGCTGCCACTCGAGAACCTTTCTTCCCCATCGGTTATCGGTTCTTCGAGCTATATGGCCGGCCCATTGCCACTTCAGCTTACTAATCCGTTGGGCTATATCGGTCACTCTAGTTTTACTGCGGATATCCTCATTTCTGAGTCTATCACGCAGAGAAACTCCGAGCATAGCCCTCTCCATAGCTCGCTGAGCGACCTTGAGCGTCCTCATACGGTCAGCAGTGAAGGACCACGTCTCAGATCCGTAAGTCATCACTGGCAACACGCACTGGTTGTACACTTTAGTTTTCAGAGATTGAGGTATACCTGACGAGAAGATGTGTCGTAATTTCCCGAACGCTGCCCAGCCGAGTTGAATCCGTCGATTGACCTCTCGGTCGAAGTTGGACTTACCTAGTCGGACTATTTGTCCCAGGTAAACGTACTCGTCAACAACTTCGAGCATAGTGCTCCCAACAACTACCGGCGTATGTGTGACATGGACATTAAACATGATCTTTGTTTTGTCCATGTTGATCTTAAGACCTATCCGTTAGGAGACACTATTGAGGTCATTGAGCATAGTGCTACGGTCCTCCAGCGATTCTGCCATAAGGACTATATCGTCGGCAAATCGAAGGTGAGTGATGTACTCGCCATTGATGTTAATACCGTATCCTTTCCAGTCCAGTAGCTTGAAAACGTCTTCCAATGCAGCGGTGAAGAGTTTCGGGGATATAACGTCACCCTGTCTTACACCTCTCTGCAGTTGGATAGGTTTCGAGCTCTGGTTCTGTACTCGGATAGCCATCGTAGCCCTACTGTACAAACACTTCAGCACTTCGATGTACCGACAGTCAACTTGGCACCGTTGGAGGGACTGTAGCACCGCCCAAATTTCGACGGAATCTAAGGCTTTACCATAGTCCACATACGCCAGGCAAAGTGGCAGATTGTACTCTTCGGTCTTCTGTACAATCTGCCCTGTCATTTAGTCATCTATAATATAAATGACCACATTCCTACAGTATTTATTCTACTCACGAGGTTCCCTTGCCACACTCAACTTTCTCTACCATACAATAAACAGAATGCGGAAATGCCGTACGTGCCTTTTACTGTTTATTTAAGATAACGAAGACGATAATAAAGACTTCTCACAACATTTTTACAATAGACTACAATAGATGAATTGTTCTGAGTCTCACATTGACTCGTTGACTTGTCGTTATGTATTCTGGTCATGTCTATCATCCATGCTATAAACACTTATTAAGGCCATACCCCTAGCGAACGACCTTGAGCGTTTGGTCCGCCGACTCTCGTTACTATATATCGCGTAAGAAATCTGCAAGACGCCACCTACTGGTACGGACGTAGTATTATTTTTTCAATGTCAATGAACTATTTTATGGAAATAGACACGGCAATAAATGTATTTTAATTTTCTTTATTCGGTAATTAAGATTTTTATGTTTTTCCATAGGAAATGTTCTGCTCTATCTGATTAATGTAAAAAATCATTAGGTAAATGACTTACTTTTTTCATTAAAGTCGAAAATGTGAAAAAATAACCGATTTTTTTAAAGTCTTTTTAGGATCTAAATACAATTTTGCAGTTAAAAGTTTGCTTTTATTTTATTACGCGTATCTTTATCTATCCAATGAGACATCTTTTAAGAATGTAGGACTTCTACATAGGTGAATATTGTAATTTTAAAGCGCGGGGTCGAGGTGGTGACACTGAAAAATTTAAATGGCTGCCATTAAATACACCTAGGTCTAAATGAGATTTGAGACACGATTTGTCGATGAAATTGATTATATTTTATAGCATTAAAAGCTCCGACACCGCTAACCGGACACATGTATAAAGTGGTAGTGGTAAGTTGCGAATTTCCCGCTCCTATTTCAAAAATACCTGCGACTGCACATTTATTTAATTATTTAATCTTTATTATACACCTTATATACTAAGGGATATAAAAGGCGGACTTAATGCATTATGGCATTCTCTGCCAGTCAACGCTGGATGATTTGAAAAACTGTGGCAGGTGTAATCAATCACTTCCTAAATAAATAATAAGGATATAAAACAAAATAAAATGCAAATGAATAGAATAGATATATAGTTGTAAAATATACATACTTACTTAATATATAATATAGAATAAATATTAAATATATTAATAAATAATAAATATATTTAATGATAAATAATTTTCACTACAATCATTGTTTACTATTACAAATTTTTGGTTACATAATTGGCATTTAAACGTAAATTTTGACTCTAAGCCTTTTGTGTTTATCCGATAAGTTGTAGTTCGGTGAAGCTGCAACCTAATGGACCATGATTAGAAATTTTTATGGAAAGAAGTGGCTGACGTCAATTATTATTCTTCTTATTATTTTTTCATTACTGCCTTTTTCAACCTCACAAGATATTTGTAACTGCAAAAAAGAAAACGTATAAGTAAGTAAATCAGTACTGTAATATAGTGTTATGTATGATTCAGACTAAATAAATGGTTCCTAAATATAGACGTAGATAAAGAAATAGCATAAAAATTACTTATTTTTCATCCTCGCATATAATGCATGTAATCAAGAATTTTAGTCATTTTTTAAAAGTTGATTTTAAATGTATTTATAAAATTATAAAACAAATTAGAACGTGTGATGATAAGATATTGAACATTAATAATTTGCTTTTAGATGTAGTTTATTTTTCATAACTAATGAGATAATAGAGTCTGAAAAACGCACTTTCGCAAAATTTTGGTCAGGGATACACCTTAAATACGCAAACTCATCCGCTTGCTCAACCAACTCCCCTTCTTTTTGTTGTGTTTCACTTAATATTTTTCTTTCTTCTATTTCGAAAACCACTACATTCGTTTTAGTGCGTTGTCTTTCATTCCTCTTTATTTTAATGACCTGTTCATTAATATAACCATAATTTTCAACTCGCTCTCCTACGACAAATAATATAACCTTGATCTTGAGAAAAGCATTGACGGTTAACTCACCCATTCGTCAATTTTTAAAGTTTCCAAACAACTGTCCATAAATAGATTGAACTTTATTTAATAGGGAAATTAATTGATATCCTCTTTCCGCAGGGTGGTTTATTCGAATCGCCACACACGGACGAGAACGATGTGCAAACAATATCGCACAAATGCGAGGTGTTGCCGCTGGCGCAGTACAAGGAGCGCATGGGCGACGACCCGGCCCGGTACAGCACCGTGTACGACAATAACGACGTGTACTACCTCGCCGGCCGCTACGACCCCACGCAGCAGACGCTCACCATGGAGCCGGATATACCCTTCGCTGATAACACGCCCGCTTAAGCTGCTATGCTCCCCTGGTAGTTTGCCAGTCATGTTCAAAATTCGTGGATTTTTTATTTTGTAATACGTTCTAGACAGGCAGTTAGTGAGACAGTTGGTATTAAAATTGTCTGGGGTCGTTGTGTTTACTCGTATGTTTCAATAAATTTAACCGCAAGTAAATCTAGCTCTTACGCTCGGGTCACACTAACACTTAACTACTTTAATTATCGTGTTAATTTTGTAACGGTATTCATAATTCCGTTAAGGGGTTAGGTGATAGCTTGGATAGCAGTCTTTTTGGAACATCAAAGAGATTTAGCAGCGCGTTATTTAATTCGTGGCCACACTAGCATATTTTAGTCAGTGTTATGAATCGGACATGAACTATTTTGTAAAGTGACTCGTGTACACCAGAGTCGGATTAAATGTCGCCAACGCCCTAGGCTGGTTACCTCATCGGCGCCCTTCTAGCGGCTATACGTTATAAATTATAATTACTCATTTTGCAAATAGCTATGTTATAATTTATAATATAGTTTAATAGTTAAAATAATTAGGATACAAGTGCCAGTAACAGGTGAACGTGAGTGACTAATGTGTTGAGAGGGTGAGCGTTATGTAGGAGTAATCAAAAAGATGATTTTTTTGTCTGTGCGTAATTTTCTTTAAGGTTAAACGCCAGAGTTTGTAAATATTCCAAACAGCAGCATGTTTAAGGAATCCACGTCAAAAAGTCACAAAATCGTGGTTTATAAAAATCATTTGGCGTTGCATGTTTATAAATTTTTCCATTTTCACCAACCAATTAAGAGTTAACATGTAATTTTTAATAGAATAAATTCAAAATTATTTTGGAATTCAATAATACAATTTATGTTGTAGGTACGTTGTTCAATTCTTTTTTAAGTGAAAATTTCTCTACATTATGCGAATTTAATGCCAAATATTTATGCCACAATTATTGCGATAATGGACGTTACACAATATCGTTAGTGTGGCCCCAGCATTTAAATAATCGGCTATTACCTGATACTTTCTGTATAAATATACATTTTCAATGTTGTTTAAGGAAGAGATATATATAAAAAGATTAAGATATACTTTTGTAATTTCTCTATAACTGTCAATAAAATGTACCTACGTATATGTAAGTGAAAATAAATGTTAAACATGAAAAGTACGGTTGTAAAGACCAGTTTCTAAAACATAATTCAGACTTAGTAGTCTGTTTGCGAAGATAGTGTCGGTACACACGGAAACGCACTTATTATTTTGCTTTTATTTTATTATGTTTCACTGTGTTTATTAAATAAATGTTTTGCTATTCTAAGAATAAAATAGAATACTATTTTATTATTATGGTTATTGTAATAAAATACTAATAGTAAACACAAGTTAGGTATCAAGGCACCTTTTACTGAGGTCCAAAATTTCTGCTGGTGTAACGTCTGATGTCGCGGTACCTGTGACAAGATGCAGCACTCAAAAGCGACCGTATCTAAGCGAACGGACCATACTCTGCTAGTTTTTAATATTAGGACGTACAAGTAGTTTTAGCGATCCGCGACTCACTGACAAACCCCGTGTGTAGCTTGGACTTGGAATCACATAATATACAGGTTTATAAAGTACAATGTAGATTTTGAGGCTCAATAATTGTGACGTTTTACCCCTTACCGTCCCGGAAGGCGAGTTGTAGTGGTACATTATGTTATAGTTACCCTTGTTATGTTATAACTAGATCAGTTCGGGGTTGTTGTGCGATGTGTTGGAGCCGCGTGTCCATTGGCGATGTTATTTGACAATATTGAGAAGCTTCGGCAGGAGGAGTGATCGAGTCGGTGATGATATGTGATTTATTTTTTATACGCGTAGTGTTATAATCTCAGTGTGTAGATTATTTTTTCGTGTATATTTAATTATATTATATTCTTAAGTATGCGTAGTTTTATAATGTTTACATGTCTAAATTGCAATACTGTTTCAACTAGTCTGTTGTTGCGTTCAAAATTAACCAGCGATTGGTGATTGGTCGTGCTCTCGGAGAGATCTTTTGGAGCAAATCATGGCGAGTACGTAATGAAAATATATACGGAACTGTTTTGTTATATTATTGTTTATTCGATGATTCTTTTATATTTTTGGTTGATAATATTATGTTATTTGAAGTATACATTATATCGAAATGGTGCTAGACGCTTGATACTGCTCGTTTATTTCGCCCTAGTTATAACTGTATATAGATATTTTTAAACGTAGTCTGTAAGTACACGCCTCCCGTAGTCTCGTACTTTTGTATTTACTCTGTGTTTAATGAATTTCATTCGTCACCTCAGTGCACTAGTGTTGCCATTTTTCTACATATTATTGTATAATTTAAATTATGTAGTGAGTATAATTTTTCACAGGGTAAAGTCGAGCCCTGCTGGTAATCTTTTCATATCGAGGTGTGTAAATAAAAGGAACTGAAAAGACAGGGATGTAGGTAGGTCGAACAAGGGTAGGCAGTAGGTAGGTTTTGTACGAAGCGTTGCCAAAAGAGTTTCATAGAAAAGTTTCGAAATGATTCAGTCGAATGTAAGTTAATTCTCCGATAGTAAGTTTCCGTCACTACGTGCACCGAATGAGGTCTAATAGTTTTTCGCCACCAGATGGCGGTAGTGGGGATTGAGGTGAAGTTTTATAATAGAGAAGCTGCGTTTGAAATAAAAGTTATTCTGTTTCTAGATCATCTCTTTAATTGTTTGCAAATTATTTAGTAGGGTACGCGAGGGTAATATAGTCACCATAAGCTTTGTCGCGCTATAGAACCAAAACTAGGAAGAGGACGAAAGCACTGAGTCGTATACTTTAACTAATATAATAAGCAGAAAGAAAAAACAAACGAGCATTGGCAATAATTATGAACACTTCGAAAAATCAACTTAAAAAAAAACTAATTACACTACTCCATACTGAAACTGAATAAAATATGTCAACTGTCAAAACGGCGTCGATAAAACAGCGCCTTTTGATCCATTATTATTTGATTGACTAATGGGGATCTATCGTATCACAGAGCCATCTAGGCAAACAAGGGTGTAGTTTTTGAGTTATAAGAAAGTGACCATATTAACCGGACGACTATATTACCCTCACGTACTATATTAAACACATAAAAAACTTATAAACATTTTTCTACTTTTAGGAATGTTCGTAGTTTGTTATATTAATTTCTAATCTAATTACTATAAAATATAACTAATATAACAGAAAGGAACATTAACCCTCACATTTTCCCAATAAATTAACTTTTCCCGCTAAGGAATCTGTCAAATATTTCACCTCACTCCTAAGTGACGCCGTTGGTAGAAGTCGTGAATGCCCACGTTGATTACTTGTTCTTTATAAATTGACTTTTATACTTTCAACACAGAAGTGCGCATAGTGGTAGATTAACAAACACTTTTGTTCTAACGACTGTAGCACTCTTATGCTTCGTAGCCGTATGTTGTTTTAAAGCGACCCAACACATTGTTTGCGTGCATCGTACTTTTTTGTTATCGGATGTACTTTAACTCTTAAGTTTGTTTATAAGTTCTAGTTAAGACATTTTTAATTTTATAAACGAAAATAAAAATATATTATATCGAGTCTTGAAACAAAATATATTGGATGACACAAAAAAAAAATACAAAATTTGAAAACGATATTGAAGAGTGGTATTTTTATATTTAACGATAAAGTAGTGTTTTATTTTAAAATGATTGAATGCGAATCGATTATAAGTACAAATTTGTTGATTGTACGTAAGTGGCTCGGCCTGGACCCGGATGCTGTAAGGCACACAGACACAGTAGACTGTTCACCAGAACTAGGAGTCGGATATATTTTGTGTGTCACTCTTGACCTCTTCCGGGTTCTTGTGAATTGTCATTTCAAAATGTAGTGTGTAATCTAAAGGGGAAGCCATGAAAATAATTATTAGATTTAAAGATTAATAATATATCAAGCATTGATAATATAAAGATTATAAATACGCTTAAATAAAATATTTTTGGCTGAACTTTGTGTTTTTTTTTACCCACTACTACCGCCCCGACTTCGACTGGGTAAGACCAGCCTCTTTATGTTACCTATTTAGATACGTGATAATCAAAAACCGTTTTTAGTTTATCAATTTTTGTTTCTATTGCCTAGATCCTTCCTGACACTGCTTTCTATCTCTTCATAAAGTTCCATCACAATGGGTTCATCTTTTAAGCAGATAAGCCCAGACAGACAAACAAAACTTTTTTTAGAACAAAGTTGATGGACAAGCACACAGTCCACCGGATGGTAGTAAGTGGTTGCTGTGGCCCATAGACATCTACATCTATTCTCGATTACAAATCAAAATGCAGATGCGTTGTCACCACCAAGGACTAAGATGAAATGCCTCGTTTCCAGTAAAAAAGGTCTCCGGATCTCTACCCTCACCATACGAAACACAGCAGTATTAAGCTGCTATTTTACGCTGGTATTCCGTGAGAGCGTGGTCCTTCCCCGGTTGAGCCGACCCATTCGTGCTACAACCATAATATAGATGCAGCGTGGCTCTACCACGTATAAACGTCTATTTGTCTTGAAAGCATGCAAGTACGTAGATGTACATAAATGCATGTACGCAAGTATACATAGTATATTTTCATACGTAATAGGGACATGCTGCAGGTACATTACGGTTGTTGCACTTATATGTAGGTTCGACCGGGGAGTTCAACGCTGCTGTGATTCTTATGGTGAGTGTAGAGAACCTGGGACCCTTTTTTACTGAAAACGAGGCATTCCATCTTAGTCCTTACGGGTGACAACGCATCTGCATTTGATTCGTAATCGAGGATAGATGTGGATGTATATGGGCCACAGTATCCACTTACCATCAGATGAGCTCGCTTGTCACTCTTACTTTAATAAAAAAGTAACCACGAGCTGCATGCATGAGTTTAATAGAAGCCAGTTTTTTCAATATTACAGAAAGACACTAAGATTTCATTTACATGTGTACATATCAATCGTTTCTTTTACAAAAAGAGTACGGGCTTTATTCTACATAATCATTTGAACTCTTATCGTTTATCTCTATCGTAATAATAAAAAATAAGAGATAGACGATAAGATAGATTCTTATCGTCTATCTCTTATTTTTTATCATTTGAACGTTATCTGCGACTTAAAATAGTTGGTTATACAAATTGACTTGTGACTGTTGAAGATATAAATAAACGACTTCAATATAAATAAAATGAGAATATCATCAATGTAGTTGAAGTCAATTAAATACGCATTATTAATAACTACTCAAAAACTACTGGTCAGATCTTGAAAAAATTTATATGGGACCTCGTGAGAAGCATCAGCTTTCAAATAAAAAAAAATGAATCATCAAAATTGGTTCACCTACAAAAATTCTGAGATAACACATAAAAATATACACCCCAATTGAGTACATCCTCCTTTTTAATTAAATCAACGATAAGTTACATGAGTTATTGTTGACTTCCATAATTTAGCCTTGAAAATTGAAATATTCCATTCTTGTTTTCGTATAGTTTTCTATTAGCGATAGGGATTGTAAAATTAACATGGCTAACCGTGTAGTTCAGATAGACTGAAAAAGTAAAGTAACAGGCTAACATAACTATCAAGTATCTCGTGTGGTTTCTCTGTGAGATCGAAGTGGTAACCGTAATCAGCAGTGCTCCCCATGTGGGCTGTCATAGTTTTCATACCAACTAGATTTAAAATTTTGTAACAAGTGAAATATATCAATTTGGTACTATGAATTAAAAAAAATTAAATATAATTTTGATTGCTTCGTAATAATGGTCTTAACGCGTATGTTGATCATGAGGGTCGGTTTGGTTTGGGTGGGTTTTTCTGTCAAGAAGTTCTTAGTAGACCGGTGTCACGGCGGGGCGTGGCGGTGTTTTATCCCCGTGCCCGGGAAAGAACGTAAAACCGTTGGTGGCCGTTGGTCTAGCGCCTGATCTCTCTCCGGTCGCGTTGGCGTGCAGTCTAATTAATTGGACTATGAGAGTGAGGGAATAGAGAGTTCACCTGTGCTTGCTAGTGTATGCACTTGAGCACTAAAATCTTGTCCTGCGCCGATGGCTAGACTTTCCACGTTGAGTACCATAAATATGACTCTATTGTAATTATAGGAATTGTTAATATTTTTTTTAAATAATAAGCGTACGTTACGTCGGTACCACGGACATAAAAAAGTCGTTATGTACACATGATGCCTCGACCAAAATATTACAACAAAATTCCCGCATTCATCCTTTTTGCAAACTCCAAGGATACTTGAAATAAAACATTTTTATTTTATTTTCTATTTACTTTCCAGAAACCTTAAATAATACATTCTTAACTGTAATGTGTAAAAGTATTAATACCTTAAGTTTTACTTGTCATTTTTCATTTTTCTAAAATCATTCACATAATTTATTCTAATGGTCGACTTTTATAATTAACACTTGGCATTCTTGAAAATAAAATAAAAAAGGTACCTACCAAAAATATAGACACAGGCACAAATTTTGTTATACATTACATGTAATAAAATTTTAAGACGATCTTAGTAATGCCAAGCTCGAGTAAGTCAATCGTAATTACATACGGCCTTACTTATAATCGTTGGTAAATGGTAATCGCTTACTTAAGTATTAATTACAAATTTGAGTCCACTTACTTTATATGTTTATTATTTCATCACTTACTTTATATTATTTATATGTATACGTGTATATAATATATATGTGTATATATGTATATATATTTTATGTATGTGTAGCATGTACATATTTGAATTGAATGTGATCATGACTTTACTGCTATATAACTCACTCTCTGTTATACCCAAGGTTAGCTTGTAAAGAATGCCATATAGCATTAAGCTCGCCTTTTGTACAAATTTTTTGGTGCAATAAAGAATAAAATAATAATAATAAATAATAATTAATTATCTCTATACCTGTCTCTTTCTATTTTCATTAAGTGAATAGAAAGAAAGCAACTTGAAGTATTTCTTAAATGAGGGCTATCACACACAATCTTACTCTCGCGAGATGTCGCTAGTGCCCACTAGCGACATCTCGTGTTCCTATTTTGGCATCGTAGCTCCCAAAGACATGATCCAAATGAGAAAAGTGAATCGATGAGAGCGTTTTTATTTATTTATTTATTAGGAAGTTACCATGATTTTGGACAAAAAAATGTTTACATAAACAATTGATTAATCTAGTGTTTAGTACTTAATAAATAATAAAATACTTAAAGGATAACTTAACATGTTAAAGTAAATAAGAACTACCTAACGCACATTAAAGTTGAAAAAGAATAACAAAACAACTTATTATAATGCAAGAAGAAAAAAACGACTACTCATGAGGTGATCGTAACTTTAAAAAAATTATTTAAATTTTTAAAAATGTCAACATCAACCAAATAATTTAGATCAAAGATGTTTTATAGGTACAGATACCGTGTACGCGCGCCTAAAACGCTTCCATTTAAAAGGCGCCAATATTGGCGTATTCGTTCGATCGTTCCGCCATTACGCCAGCGACGTTCACTGCGAACGTACATCACGCACCAGTGTTTTTAATTTCACAGAATGACCGTTTGTGCTGTGAAATCATGTAAAAATTACTCTTGGAAAAAAGATAAGGATAAGAACATCATTTTTCATAAGTAAATATACAATTTTCTGGTGTATTTCTTGATAAAATAATACGAAAGCTGAATGTCAATGCAAGTAATAATACTGCGCAATAATATTCGAGTGTTGCCTACCGTATGAAATGTTTTCCCTATTTTAATGTCATTAATAGATGTAAAGCAACTGATGACAACGGATATTTAGCCAAAGCAGCCGATACGCAACCGTTGTGAACCGGTTGTTTAATCGGTTATTTGATCTAGTCATGAAACTGGATCGATATATGAATTTAAAAAAAAAACATTTGCTATCTCTTGGCCGAAGTTAACTTTTACGGTCACACTTAACCAACTTACTTTTGTACGTCATTTTACGTAAGATTAAAAAATAATTAATGTCTTCGTAAAAAGCGACAATATTTTGGGTTCTAAGGTACGAAAGTGTAGTACTCTATATATATTCAATAATAATAGATTAGTTCAATATATGTTAGATACATAAATATCTACTGTGATTTTTTATTTATTTTAACTGTTACATTAATTATATCTAAGTTTTTTTACTTATTTTACTATTTTAGTGCGATTTTCGTACCTACTAAAACACATATAACCACCCATATCCCTTGTGTGTGCATATCCCCATTCACATACGGACACAAATGCACACGCCTTACGACGCCACATTTTACACTCAGGTATGTCAATAGGTATGAATGAAATATAAAATCTCCCAAATTTTTGGGCAATCGATTCGCACTATTATTACCGAAGTCACGCACACTAATGCAGGCATGGTACGTAAGATATGCGCGTCACGTGGTACTCACGCACACTAGAATCAAAGACTGGCGTCACTGTGAACGGTGCGAAGTGTTAGCAACACGGTATCTGTACCTATAAAACATCTTTGATTTAGATATTATGACATTATAAAACATTGATTTATATATTACACATAACTCAATGTTATAAAATCTTAAAGGCATGACGGCACGGCGAGTAGGTATTACTGTAAAATAATTTAAATTTTTAGTAATATTTTTTATATTATAATTTTTTTATATTGTCTGTAACCTTTTAGTTAGATTTAATTTTATAAAATGTTTTAATTAATTATTATTAATAATTGTTTCAACGTATATTTATTTTAATTGTAATTTGAATGAATTTATTATCATCTGAGCTTGTAATCCAACGTTTGTTCTACACACAGAAATCTAAATAATAAGACAAATCTAAATTTATATTTAGATTTCTGTGGTTCTACAATACCTACGTTTTAATAAATTATGATTTTTATTCTAGAATTAGATCAAGGAATACACACTGTTAACATGTACAATAACATGATGATGATTTTCAATAACATGTTAAGAGTGTTCATAGCTATGATCGAGGAAAATCTTAGCAGCCATTTGAAGATCATCAGCTCTTTTTGTTCCGGGGGTTTTTTTAAATTGTTGATCGAATTAACTTCTCTCAATATGAAATCTGTCACATATTTCACCTCATTGCTAAGTCCTGCCGCCCTGGTGGCAGAAAGAGTCGTGGATGTCCTCATTGACGTAAGTAAGGCCGATGCTAACTAAATATCGCAAGCACAATTTCAGGGTCAACAAAGAATTTCCCGTTTCCCATTACTTATAACTTCGTAGGTGTCATCGTCGATTATTTTGTACACGTCTTGTCGATAGTGCTTCAAATTGTGTAGGAACCTGATGGAGCTCTCTTCCCGTATTTTTGTGATCACCGGCGGGAGGTTTTTAGTACCCGCTTCAGAGGCCAGAGATGCGTAGTACCTCTCCTGATCGAAAAAAAAAAACGAGTCATAAAGATGGAAAATGCATAAACATAATTCAATGAAATTCAAACGATATTATTTTACGATTTGACGCGTAAAAAGGACTACCTATGGCTAAAAAAAATCTTCATAGGCTTCATATTCGTAGACACGTGACTAAAATATGTCCTTACTTAAAAAAACTGCTAAAACAGCACAAAGAACTGTTAAAATTAAATTTGTGCATAATTGTTTATAGGACAAGGCTGATAAACGAGCACACAATTCATCTGGTTGTTTTTTTACGTGGTATAGGCATGTTGTAGCTATATTATGGTTGTAGTACGAATGAGTCCGCTCGACCGGAGAAGGACCACGCTGTCAAGACTACCAGCGTAAAATAGCAGCTTAATACTGCTGTGTTACAAGTAGAGAATCTTGAGAACCGGAGACCGAGTCCCCGGTTCTCTACACTCACCATACGAAACTCAGCAGCGTCAAGCTGCTATTTCGCGATGGTATTCTGCGAAAGAGCGTGGTCCTTCCCCGGTCGAGCCGACTAATTCATGCTGCAACCGTAATATACCATGGATGCAGCATGGCTCAACCACGTATAACGCAGCATGCCCATGGAAACGGCAGTATATAATGCCCTTTCTATGGGCATCTGTGTATGTATATATTACTGTCAAAACTTTATCCTAGTCACATATCGATAGGTCACAGATATACTATAAATATTTTGTTTATATAAATTAAACTATAAGAAATATTACCTAATAAAATTTGGCACACGCGTAGAGCAATCGCTGGATTAAGATTTACGGTAAGTACACTAAACTCCTATCATTAAAATTAGAATGTACAAAATTGGCAATGGGACGTAAAGTTGGCAGGCTAGTGGCAACCCCATAACGGTAAACAACGTGTAGGTAGGCCCCTAGTAGGTGAAGTGATGATCTGGTATGACATGCAGGAAGGCGATTGGTGTAGATGGCTCAGGAGCGTGCTTTGTGACCTTCCTTGGGGAAGACGTAAGTTCAGCAGTAAATTTTCTTTCATTTACTCTACATACAAATTATTTTATTCTTATACCAATCGTACATGACTTGTTTAATTCAAATAACGGGCCACAGTATTAGCAGTTTTAATGTCAACGTTCCCTTTCAAGGCGAACTATAACAACCAGATAAGGCTGTCCATTCGATGCATAAATGCTACTGGATCTATAAAGATGTAAACAGACTCTACTGTTATCGGCATATTCGGTGTCAGTATTGCGTAAACTCTGATCGAAGCGAGTGTGTTGATATTATCATTTATTAAGTTATGGGTTCCTGCTACGAATATTTATGTACGCGCACATGTTTTTCAATCAAATCTCTTGTATGTAAAGTTAATAAACTCTCTTTTCGCTTTGTTTTTCATTTAAAATTCTTCGCACCCGAAAATAATTGTATCTTAAAGTTACTTTTTTTTCTCAATGTGTCAGTTATTATAGACCCTAAAATCTCCTTTGTAAACGCTACAATCGCGGGGACAGCTGGTATTCTTAAAATAAGTCCCGAAGCTAAAATTAATTATTTGTAAAAAAATATCATATTCATTGACAAAATTGTGTTGTAATATATATTTATTAAGTAAGTAGTGCTAAATAATAGTTTAAAAGAGATTAGTAATTGAATGATCTAATATTAACTGACTTGCCGTAAGCAATATAGTACAAGAACTGTATATATTTATTAACTACAACATATTATGATGTCTGAGGTCTTCTACACTAGTCAATCTTTAGGTGATACAGAAATAAAAATATGAAGTTGGCGTAAAAGTTGATAAAAGCCAGAAATATAAATTAAAGTAAATAAGTATGAAATAAAATAATAGGTCTACACATATGAAATTGGCGTTCTGTAATACTGGCTATTTCAAATCAAAATTATTTTTGTTTCGCTCAGAATTCTAATTTAAAATTAATTTTATTTTAAGAACATGGAATTTTTTTCCAAAATTTGTCGATTGATTTTTGATTATCGTTATGTTTTCTTCGCATTTAAATCTTTTTCGTCATCATGGATATATTGAAAATTTGAGTAATTATGGAACATGAGTACCATGGTGGTAGCAACGTGGCAGAAGCAGCATGCAACACCAGCGACGTTTACGGAGCGAATACTACAAAATGACGCACCACCTGTTATTGCTTACTTTCTGGAAATTTCGACCTGAAAAATGAACCCCGTGGTCGTCCGCAAACATTGGTCGACAATGAGTTAAAGGCTGATGATACTCAATCTACTACAACTAGCAGCAGATTTCGACGTTATCATCAAAACAATATTGATCCATTTGGGTCGAATTGGCAGGAAATAAAGCTTCACAAATTAACTTAATGAGCGCTAGTACGAAGTACGCGTCGAGACGTGCGTTGGACTACTTAACATGCACACACAGGATTTTGAACTGCATTGTTACCTGCGACGATAAATGGATTCTGTTTGATAATCGCAAGCGCTCAGTAAGTTGGTCGGGTCCTGGTTCAGCATCGAAACAATGCCCTGATCAAAATCTTACCCCTAGAAAAGTGATGGTCACTGTTCGGTGATCTAGTGCCGTTGTGATTCATCACAGCTTTGTACCAAACGGGATGAGCATTACTGCAGATATGTACTGTAAATAACTGAACACAACGATAGAGAAGCTCCACGTCTCCAACCAGCTTTGGTCTTTGGTCAATCGATCGTTCCCGCTGCTCCTGCACGACAACGCGCGACCTCGCACTGCACAAAAGACGGTCTCCAAGTTACGACAGCTGGAGTTGGAAGCTCTCCGTCACCCGCCGTACTCACTAGACCTTGCGCCTACAGACTTCTACTTTTTCCAGAATTTGGATAAACTTTTATCGGGAAAAAAATTAATACTCGATAGGCAGTACAAAATGCCTTTGAAGACCACTGCGTTGGACGAAGATGCATCAATTGCATGGGTGATTACTTTGATTAAAAGAAATAAAAAATGTGGGGAAAAAATAACTTATTTCAAGAGAAAAACGGAAATTTCATAGGTAAAAACCTATTAACAAACAAAAAATATCAACCAAATTGGTGATATACCAATTAAAATAGGCTAAGTTAAAAGTAGCTTTAGCCTATGAGCGTGTATGCGCAGATATTATATGGATGTAAAAAAAAGTGAAAGAGGTGTGTTAGAGTCGTACAAAATTGAAATACGTGGTTTCTACCTCAGGGTGCAAGGCGATTTTTTTTTGTTATTTAAATCTTTTTAGTTCTTTTAAGTTGGCTTTAACTTTTTTTACATGCAACTTATTCCGCCCTAACCAAGAATTTACAGTAGGTACTCCTAATTTTTTCATATCCCCTTTACAGTTTATACTCTTTATGGTACCGCCTTCTATCGTTATTCCAAGCAAGATAAATAAGTTTGTTTATACAACTTTTCTGCCTAGTGTACTCAAGTCTATAATTATTATTTTTGGATGTGATTTGCATTTCCTAAACAGACAATCCTTTTTATTAATTTTTTATTGCAACTGTTTAATCTACCCATATATGCATATCGCGTTTATTACATTTAACATTTTATTAAAAGTGAATGAACATGAATTAAATATTTTATAGTTCAAAATTACATATTCGTTTGTACCTACCTATTTTGCGTACAAATAGGTAAATAGGCAAATAGGTACAAATAGGTTTGCTCAAATTAATGAAAAAGAGATTTATTTATGTTTTTATTCAAGTATAAGGTGTCTAAATTGATCTTAACTCTAATTTACAAAGTAAATACCAAATAGGTACGTAATTTATCTGATTGCAAGTTTTATGAAAATAGTTACCATGAAAGTAAAACTCTAAAAATTGGTATTCTATTTAGAAACCCGATAGCAAACAAAACTGTTATCATCGATCAAACGGTAGATATCGTTTCTGTAATGTACGAGATTGTGGAGGAACTTCAGGCTGCTATCGTTGTGGACTTCAGTGAGGACGGCCGGCAGCGGTGTGGCACCAGACTCTCGCGAAAGGCTACCGTAGTACCCAGCCTGGTTTCATTCATTATGATGTCAGGAATTATTAAAACTGTATAATTCTCAACGAAAGTATAGAGAGAGAGAGAGAGAGAGAGAGAGAGAGAAAGCAATGTGATTGTTTAATAATGTTATACATACTTCAAGTATAATTTCTTTTTTTAAATAGAAATAGAGTGACAAGCGAGAGTACACAGTTTACCTGATGGTAAGTATAGGTAGACACTTACATCTGTCTTCGATTAAGAATCAAAATGCAGATGCGTTGTCCATCCCTGAGGACTAAGATGGAACGCCTCGTTTCCAGTAAAGAGTCTCCGGTTCTTTACACCCACTATTATTCTTTGAGATCGTGGTCTTATCCCGGTGGAGCCAACCTTCTCGTTGAACAACCGTAATATAGCTGCAGCGTGGCTCTACATCCTGTAACTAACATGTGGGAGAACTATCTTTTAGCTAAAATTTGTCATGGTGAAAAGGCACTGAGTGCACCGGACCTAAATCTAATCGGTCTTATTACAAACCGTGGTCAACTGATAGTCTCGGGTTTTCTCATGTAAGATCTCAGGTCTTTATCATGTAAGAAATCTCTTATCCACGGTGCCATAGTCTTTCGTATGTCATCTTACATTTGCTGTAAATTCCATACTTTGCATTTGTCCCACTGCTTGAGGGGCGCAGGCCTCGCCTAATTTCTGAGAGGATTTTAGGGCAAGGAAGTGCTGCTGCGCTGCCCTAATGTGTATTTGGGAAACTTCACATGTTTTCTTCAAATTTTTCCTTATTTCTTAGACATGCAAGTTTCCACACGATGGTTTCCTTCACCGCAGAGCACGTGGTAAATCAGCGTTTAAAATTGCAATAAACAATTTTATTGGTGCCGGCGGGAATCGAACCCGGTGAAATTTACAGCGAGGGCTAACCATCTCAACTAATACGGCTCATTTTTCATCATATTTGCATGATAGTTTGCATATATTCCTCGGGAGTTCATAACTGAAACAGACTCTTTCAATAGTAGTTTAAAATTCTCTGAGAATTTCAAACTACTATTTGTAACAATCCCCAGAACAACGCAGATAATTTTTGAATGAATTTGCTTTACTATGACTAATTTAACTAAGAGGCCACTTCAGAGTCGAATATTTTATAAGTTTAATTTCAAATGATAAAATCAAATTAAGTAATGTCATATTATGTCGAATTCGGTCATGGCCACTGTAAACATAAACGCTAGTCGGTTAACTAGGTATATCACTTAGTTACGATAAAAAATGAGGCAGATTGAGAATATTTTTAAATGCGGTAGAATCTTTGAGTATTCAAAGGGTAGAATCAAACTGCGGCTATATATTGATTGTAGCACAGGTAGGTCACAACTCTCGCATTGTGAAAATGGGACCGAAGTCTGTAACTTCCTACTTTTAAAAATTATTAATTTTCAAAGCGGGAAGTAAAAACATCGAATTTGGTTAAATGCTACAATCCTCAAGTTGATTTTGAAATATCTTTAACAGGAAACCTCGCTCGAGCAGGAATTTATTGCACATAATTTATAACCTAGACTATATTTTCCCAACCCAAAGAAGGTACCAAAGTAAGAAGCCAGTTCAAATAACAATACATACAAAATACGGAAATGAATCACCGTTTAAAGAAACTAGTAACGATAACTTGTTAGCATTGCGAATCCCTTAAATGGGATTTTTTGTATGCATTACTCGATATATAGTGAGAAATATCCCTAACAATAAAAGTTATATGAGCGAGATAGAGGTATATAACGAGTTAAGACTTTCTAATGTGTATTAACATCATACTTTGCCATTGAATAAAACTATATATATACGGATTTTATCACGTTTAATAAACTTATTTTAACTTATTTTTAATTCCCGAGGTTTCGGGTGCTTTACAGCACCCATGATCACGGGGGGGACTGAGATGTTTGATCCCAATGTCATTGTTAGCCCGGCTACCTTCAGTTTTTGAATATTAATTTTTGGTCCGATCTACGCAGAACGAGCTTATAGTATCTTGAAGTCTTGCAGTGGTATGCTTGGGCTTAGGTTTAATTTTGTTAATTATAAGATCCCAAGAAGCTGAAGATGGCAGCACCCATCCATTTCCTCTTTTGAATATAGGGTGTTTTTTTTAATTTTAATAGCCTCGCGTATCAGGTATAGTCGTATATATAGTTTTATTCAATTTGTAACGTTCGCGTAAATTTAAGAAATCGTTATCATACTTCGGCTCTATATTTTGAGTATTAACTAGGGATGGGCCGAATATTAAATATTGGCCAAAATTCGAATATGGATTTCACCGAATACGAATTTTGGCCGAACGTTCGGTATAATTTTTACCGAACCGAATATTCGGCCGAACATTTTTCGGCAGGATTACCTCGGTACCTAACCAATTTATGTCGAAACTTGTTACCGTAAAGCGCGCGGGATTAGCGCCAGAGCCTTCCAATCGCTCCCCCGCCACACCTGACATGTTATTGCATCTATACTCTCAATCATCTAGTACTGAGCAAATTTTATCAAGCTTTCTATTTGCTATAATTGTAAATAAATCTACAGTGCCTCAAAAACATATCATTATACTCGTAGATTAACCCATAAATAAATATACTTTCAACAGTAAAATTATGAAAGACATGGCATTACTTAATTCGTCCATTTCCATACAGTGGATACTTTTAACGAATATTCGGTGATTTAGTCGAATATTCGGTAAACCGGCCGAATACCGAATATAAAACGAATATTCGGCCCACCTCTAGTATTAACCAGTATTTCATTAAACTCTAAATGAACTCATTAGATATGGCGGGAATCGATGTCGAATCACATCCACGTAGATGATACGTATAATCATTCGTGGTAGAGCCACGCTGCAGCTATATTATGGTTGTAGCACGAATGGGTCGGCTCGATCGGGGAAGAAACACGCTTCCACAGAATAACAGCGTAAAATAACAGCTTAATACTGCTGTGTTTTGTATGGTGAGTGTAGAGGATACTTTTTTAAGAAAGAGGAGAGTCAGGGGTGAGCATCGTTTTTGATAGATTTATTGATTAGATGTCTATGAGCCACAGCATTCACTTACCATCTGGTTAACTGTGCGCTCGTTTGTCACCCTTATTCGATAAAAATAATCTATTGCATTTTAAATAAGTACTATACACTGCTACCGGTTTTATTTCCCAACTATCGACCAGCCCTGGCCTGACTTGATATAATTTACAAATGTGGCGTTCTTTAGGTTTAAGATAGCCAAAGACCAATAATTTATTTTTTAAAGAAGCTTCAAATTTTCTGAATATATAGTATAGAGTAATGCCTGAAGTGATAAACCTAGACCACTTCTGGCATTACTCTATCTGTTCATTACTATCGGTTTAGCCATTTTGAAGACTAGCCTAGACAGACGGACAAATGTTTTAAAAATTGTTATGCATGTATTAAATTGTTAGGCATTCACATAACCCCCTTGGCTCAATATAAGGCAGTAATTCCGATATTACAGACATAACGTCAATTTTATTTTTATGTATAGATTTGAGATTTGATTCTTATTTTATTAAATTTCTCATCCATCATAGGCGACTTTTCATATATAAATGGTAAATTTCTTTTCCGTATTTACATGTCTTATGAGCTTATGACATTTTGCTCTGCATTTCTGTAAGGTTTATATAAAAAAACTAAGAATACTTTTGGTAGGAAGTGTAAAATTCTTTAAAAATTAGGTAGTTATGTATCAATGTTAGACTATAATTTATAGGAACGTTAATCTGTCATCAGTAAAAAAAGAAAAAAAAAAGATTTGTAGTCACAGTAATGGACGACATACACGGTCAGTTCAACTGATCATTCCAACTGACCAGTTCAAACTAGGATAGGACTGTTGATTTTTTTAAATATCGGATTTTCGATATATCGATAATCATAAATATATCAATATCGGAATTCTATTTATAAGTTTATTTATCGATATATCGAAAATCCGATATTTAAAAAAATATCAACAGTCTAGTTTGAACTGATCAGTTGAACTGACCGTGTGTGTCGTTCATAATATGTAGTAAGATTATCACAGGCTGTCAGTTTTTGAAAGATATTTTTGAAAGATTATAAATTTACAAGTACATGCTTGCCCAGCCTTGCATCGTACCTGGTCGGGGCCCATCAAGTTCGCGTGGCGCCGCGAGTGCCGCAGCATGTCCTGCCGCTCGGCAGCAGAACGCGCCCTGCATCGTACCTGATTGGGGCCCATCGAGTTCGCCTGGAGCCGTGAGTGCCGCAGCATGTCCTGCCGCTCGGCAGCAGAACGCGCCCTGCATCGTACCCGGTCAGGGCCCATCATGTGCGCCTGGCGCCGCGAGTGCCGCAGCATTTCCTGCGCTTACTCGACAGCAGAACGCGCTCTGCATCGTATCTGGTCGAGGCCCATCATGTGCGCCTGGCAACGGGAGTGCCGCAGCATGTCCCGCCGCTTGGCAGCAAAACGCGACCTGCATCATACCTGGTCGGGGCCCATCATGTGCGCCTGGCGCCTCGAGTAGCCGCGCGCCGCGCGCTCGCGCAGCTCTTGCCGCCAGTGCCGCAGCATGTCCTGCCGCGTCGGCAGCGAGAACTCGCCCTTTATCGCGCGCACGTAGTACCGCACCTGCGGAACCACCTCGGTTTAACCCCTATTCGTTGTTACTTGGAAATATTGATCCGTCCAACAAAATTTTACGTGGAAGAAGTAAAACTAAAAATATATTAGAGCGATCGGTATTATCAAAGCATGATGATTTCAAACGCTTTCAATATTTTTTTAAATATTGTACGGGTGACCAACAAGAAAACAGTCTACCTGATGGTAAGTGAATGGCATGGCCCATAGACATCTACCTACATCTATCCTTATTAGAGAATCAAAATGTAAATATTTTGCCACCCCTGAGGACTAGGATGGAATGACCAGTAAAAAGAGTGTCCAGTTCGCTACACTCACCATATATAATACAACAGCATTAAGCTGCTTTGTCAAGCTGGTACTCTGTGTGAGCGTGGTCCTATCTCCGTACCTCGGTCGCGTGGTTTAACCCAATCGTCCTCATCATTCATTCATCATTACATCCCTCCACAAATCCACTGCTGAACGTAGGCCTCCCCCAAGGAATGCCACAAAGCACGGTCCTGAGCCACCTGCATCCATCGACTTCACCTGCCGGTACGAGGCTGCCACTCGAGAACCTTTATTCTACAACGGTTATCGGTTCTTCGAGCTATGTGGCCGGCCCATTGCCACTTCAGTTTACTAATCCGTTGGTCTATGTCGGTTAATCAGGTTCTACTGCGGATATCCTCATCCCTGAGTTTATCACGCAGAGAAACTACGAGCATAGCCCTCTCCATAGCTCGCTGAGCGACTTCGAGCTTCCTCATACGGCCGGCAGTGAAGGATACATCTCAGATTCATAGGCCACACTGGCAACACGCACGATTTTACAATCTTGTTTTGAGATTTTGAGGTAAGCCTGACGAGAAGATGTATCGCAATCTCCCAAACGCTGCCCAGCCGAGTTGAATCCTCCGATTGACCTCTCAGTCGAAGTTGTACTTACCTAGTCTGACTACTTGTTCCAGATAAGCATACTCGTCAACAACTTTGATCTTAGTGCTCCCAACAACCATCGGCATAGGTGTGACATAGACATTACACATGACTTTCGTATTGTCCATGTTCATCTTAAGACCTATCCGTTGGGAGACACTATTGAGGCCATTGAACATAGAGCTTACTTAGGTCTTCCGGCGATTCTGCCATAACGACTATATCGTCGGCAAATCGAAGGCGAGTGATTTACTCGCCATTGACGTTAATACCGTATCCTTTCCAGTCCAGAGCTTGAAAAAGTCTTCCAATGCAGTAGTAAAGAGTTTAGGGGATATTACGTCACCTTGTCTTACACCTCTCTGCAGTTGGATATATTTCGTACTTTGGTTCTGTACTCTTTGTTGTACAAACACTTTAGCACTTCGATATACCGACAGTCTACTTGGCACCGCTGAAGGGACTGCAGCAACGCCCAAATTTCGACGAAAGGCTTTCTTATAGTCCACATTCGCAAGACAAGGTGGCAGATTGTACTCTTTGGACTTCTGTACAATTTGCCGAAGGTTATGTATGTGGTCTTTGGTACTAAAGCCTTTTCGGAAACCGGCTTGTTCGGGAGGCTGGAAGTCGTCGAGTCTGCGTGCGAGACGATTCCTAACGATTCTCGAAAACAGCACGTAGACATGGCTCAGAAGTGATATCGGTCTACAGTTTTTCAAGAGAGCGTTGTCGTCTATCTAGAAGAACAAGACCGCCGCACTTCTATTCCATGCCTCCGGAGTAGTGCCACCATGGAGGACGGAATTGAAGAGCTTCTGAAGGACTTTAAGTATCGGTTTTCCACGCGCTTTCAGAAGCACCGTTGTAATTCCATTCCGAATTACAACGGAGTCTCGCCCGGGGACTGCCGTTTTTAAGGTGCTGGAGAAACATTCTAATCTCGCTTAGACTGACGTCCTAGATATCATCGAAATAGTGTCGGATAAGACTTGTTCTTGCATATAGTGGGTTTTGGAAGAATACATGGCTCTAGAGATATCCTCATACATTTCTTTCTCCTCCTCATCGGGAGGTGTCGATGTTGGTGCGTAAACTTGTATGACCTTCAGCAAATACCGTTTAGTGATTTTGAGTATAAGGTACGCAACCCTCGTCAACACACTCTCAATCTTTACAACGTTGTTTACGACAGACTTGTGGACGATAAATCTGACACCTTCTTGAGACAGATGGTCGCCCTCCCAGCGATAGAACAAGTTGCCGGAATCCAAGATTATCGTATCCTCACCCTCTCTTCGGACCTCAGATATACCACCCCAACTTGTCTATCTCTTCTTCAAACTCCAGGATCTCTTCGTCAGTCCTCAGGGTGCGTGCGTTATATATTGCTTGGTGCTAGGTCGAGTCGTCTTAGGTGGCAGCCGAACCTCCATCGGATATTCTTAGCACCACCAGCCCCGCCGTTACCATGGTCGCCACCGTAGACAGGAATAGCGGGGCCGTCGGGAACAGGGGGCCGTTTCTTTGTGTCGTTGCTCATGGGGGTATATTGCCATAGTTGCCACGCTTGGCGAGCGGGTTGGCAACCGCAGTTTTTTATTGCTGTTTGCTGTTATCAGAAGGATGCTGCTGCCCATCTTCTGCCTCAGATTCCCTCTGTCGCGGGTATTCTTAACCGCCACAGGTTACTACAGTTTTTTTATAGGTTACTACAGTTACTACACGGGCACTCAATCGTCCAACAACCATAATTTATCTGCAGCGTATATCTCCGATGATAAAATATTGGTTAACCGTGTAGCAACGGTGTAAGCATATCCGCATAGGCGATAGAGGGAAATTGAACCAAATGGTGAAGAGCAATATCTTCTTGATAACGGTTGCCAACTCATTTGCTAAGAGTGTCAGCTATAAATAATATCCCCCCTATGATGTAATCTGTGTTGGACGTCAGGAGTGTACTTTTATGTTAAATAAGCTGTAATGGTAAATAATGAGGTACTCAAATGCAAATATCTTAAATTACGTGGTAGAGCCTCTGGTAGCGTCTGGTAGCGCCTGGAGCGTGGTAGATGTAAAGGTTCTCGAGTGGCAGCTCGTACCGGTAGGCGTAGTGTAGGGCGACACCCCACTAGATGGAGTGACGACCTGGTAAGACATGCATATGACTCAGGACCGTGCTTTGTGGCGTTACTTGGGGGAGGCCTATGTTCAGCAGTGGACTTGTGAAGGGCTGTAATGATGATGATGATGATGATGACGTGGGAGAGCCATGTTGCGACTATATTAGTAATGTAGTTGTAGCACGAATGGTTCGGCTCGACCGGGGTAGGACCATGCCCTTTTAAAATACCAGCGTAAAATAGTGCCGCTGTTGTGTTTCCTATGGTGATTTTAGAGAACCGGAGACCCTTTTTACTGGAAACGAGGCATTCCATCTTTGTCGTCACGGATGACAACGCACCTACATTTTGATTAGTATTCGAGGAAAGATGTAGATGTCTGTGGGCCACAGCAATCACTTACCACCAGGTAAACTGTGTGCTTGTTTGTCATCTTTATCCTATATTAAAAAAAGTCAGCTACTCACACGCCTACCGCAAGGACAATATAGGATGTAAGTGTGGGATGACCCTTGAGATTTTTGTTAATTGTATTGTGTGTAGGTGGCGATTTCCCAAAATTGTTCCATAAGCGGAACGGAGGTGGTTCCAAACCCTCATATCTCGCTATTTAAGACCCTGACGTCCTGTCACAACTCGCGAGTGTGGTGTGATTGGGATAATTTTCCTTCAATAAGTCGTCAACTGCCGTTAATGCGTATTTGTGTATTTAAACGGCAGGACCGTGTAGAGAAGTCTCCGCGTCCGCCTTGCATGCTTGATTGGCTATGCGGTGTACATGTGAGTGGCCGACTTTAGGAAGAAATACATAAATAAAAACGAAAAAACATACTCGCAATTAAAAGCACTACAATCTTGTGTTACGGAGATGGCTAGTCTCCAGTGAGACCGGCCGCCATAATCGTAATCGGTCTTTATAGTATATTGAATTGTCTTTGTTTATATTGAATTTCGATGTATCAAAAGATCAAAACATTCCCAAGTAACACAGGAAGCATTTTAACAAACAAATAGAACACTTATGTCGAAATTAAAGTCCGTATTAAACTGTTACATATACAATTCACATTATATTGGCATTTCAAAACCATTATGATGCCTTACACTGTATAACGGTTGGATATTTTACTTTTGTAAAGCTTTTAGTTTTAGTGCAGCAAACAATAACGCAGCCGTACAGCTTTCAGCTATTTTTAGTGAATTTGGATATACAATAGCATTTTTAAGTAGTAAATAAATACTTAATGCTGTTTAATAGCATAAACATGATCCATTATGATGCTACGAGTACATAAATTAGCTATACAGCTTTTAGCTGGTTTTAGTGCCTTAGGGAATACAATAGCATTTTTCGTAGTAAGATAATGCCTAATGCAGCTTAATAGCATAAACTTGTACCATTATAATGCACCGTTAATCCGTTATATAGCTTTGAACTGTTTTTAGTGGCTTTTGTTGTGTTATAGCACCTTTAAGTTGTAAGTAAAAGCATAGAACTGCTAAACAGCATAAACTAGAATCATATAGCATAATAAAGATCAACTGAGTTCTGTTGTACAGTTAACAATTCTTTGATCAAATACACGTGAGTAATTGTAATGCGTAAAGCTGTATATACATTCATTTTACTGTATTCGTAAAACAATTTGTCGGCCATTTTATGGGGAAAAGCAACATATGTACATGCTTTGTTGATCGTATATTTTTTTAGCGTAGCATTTAAGTAATGGCACTATTTCAGTACACATAAAGTCTACTAGTATCCGGTGAACCCATATAGACAATGGCACTGCAGTTCATCAAAAGTCAAAAGGGTTCATCAAAAGTCTTCTTTGAGTATTTATAGTGCTGGCGGCATTAATTAGCCCTTTCAAAGGCTCATCGGGCTGCTATAGACCGTCACCATTTTGTAAATATTTTATAACCAAAAAATATTATCATTCGGACCTATTTAGAAAAGCAATGGACCTATATAGCATAACATAAACACTCACGCCTGTCACCCAAAGGGGTAGAGCAGAGACTACATACTTCCATTTGGCACGTTCCGGGCACACCTCTCTCGCCTCCTCCACATCCATATACCTACGCAAATATGCTCGTCGGTTAAGGGTACTCCTAATTCGGCCCGTTTTCAATATATCTTCTATATATAACTATATAACTTTCGCCTAGGACGTTCCTTTCCGACTCATTCATTCTTTCAACCACTAACACCGAAGCATTCCTTTCTTAATATTATATAATAATGTATATAATAACTTAATTTAATACTGCCCAATTAATAATGTTATTTTAATTATGCGAAATTCGTTTTATAATAGGAATACACAATTATTTTGGTTATTTCATTCATATCTTTATGTAACAATTTATATCAAACCACAAAATATCAAGAGTTCGTGAAAATTTTCAATGACAATTATATAGACGTTTACAGTAAACTACATTGCAAAGTAATCAGCAGTAATATTTGAAGGCATGAAATAACAAAACAGTCAAAAATTTTATAAATTTTGTTTTGATGCAAACAAATTTAATCTTGTCTGTCATTCACTCAGTTTTGACCGTATTTATTCATCTATATATTATATTGCGAGATAAATTAAGTAGTTAAATTACATCGTTAATTGTATTATAACATTTAATACAACGTAACAGAGATGTTTTTGCAATGCATGATAAATAGCTCCAATCATTCTTTCACTACATTCTTATGCTAGTCTAATACTTTTGTGATGCAATTAACATTTCATTATCAATAATAGTGCTAATATATCTACTGTTTCTGTAATACGATTGGCAAATGTGATACTTGATAACTTCTTTGACCACAATAATGCTAATATAATGCGCTTGTAACGCAATTAAACAACTTTTGTGAACCTATATAGGTTAGGTTAGGTTTTAAAGCCGTATATGTTATGGCTTAATATATAATTATAATATATATTTGGGCATAATATATACGGCTTATTAATAATTTATTCACAAATAAGCATTACAGCAGCCGTATAAACGTTTGTAACGCTACCATAGAACTTATTCAAAATGCGAAAACGATACAAAATGCTGTAAGTTGGTCGTTATACTGCTTTGATGTGTTACTTGGGTCATGGCGCAGTAACCACGTAAAAGTTTTCATCATCCCATTTCGTCCCGTGGGTGCCACTATGGGAAAAGCCAAAAGCCACGCTTTTGATAAATGCCGCTATTACCATCTAGTTTGAGTCAGACGTAAAATATCTAAACCAGCAGTGTTAAAGTTGCGACTTTGTTACTGTGACCGTCCTTTCGCCTGCCAAGCATTGCGATTACGGAATATCCTTGAAAAGGACCATGTAAGTGGATTTTGATCACCTGATGGTTAAGAAGATGTCGCAAGTGACTCACCTGAAGATCGAACATGGAAAACGCGCACACGTAGTATGGAACGCCAACCAGACACATGGTTGGATGGTGAATGTTGACCAGGTGCTTATACAGCGGCTCCACACAGTTCTCTTCCACGACTATGCCGCACGACTTGTGCAGGAATGGGAAGTTGTACATGTACCCTACGAATTAAATGGTCATTAGTACATGGAGCTGGAATTGAATGAGTGGAACAATACTTGGTGACAGGACAGCTTTTCTGCTACTAATAATATTTTAATTACATTTTTTGTAAATATTACTAAATAAATGAATAAAAAAAATACGATGATTTTATAATTTAATGTATCTAGTGTCTAAAACCCCCTTTCCCTTTCCCTTTTTTATTGATTTAGTGTCTAAATTGAGACATACTTACAATTTTATATTGCAAAATCGTCACATAACGGCATGTCGAGAGTGAAGCACTCCCACAGAGCGCGTTTGTAAGACGTGTAAAATACGTTAAATATTATTATTTAATCGCGTTATAAGAATATCCACAACCCTATATCGTCTCGTGGGTGTCATAAGAGGTGGAATCGGGAATAAATCCAGGGGATGGGCAGTAGCATCTTTCTAATAACAACTACAAAATGAAACAACTGCGGTTGGTAATCCACCTGTTATGTGTGGCAAATATGACATAATATATCTCTTATATGACAATCTACGAGAGAAGCTTATAAACACATTTTTTAAAGCAAAACCTCTACTTAACAATTTCTTAAACCTATAATTGTAAAACTACTTGTAGTTTTACAATTATAGGTTTTTATTTAATTTATTAATATAGGTGTTTTAAATTATAGGGTTTTATGAGGGGTTATTAAGTAAATATAGAATAGTTTGTATGTTGGCGAACCAGTAGTTTATTGCGGAAACACTTAACGTTATATATGTTAACCGACGGATACGAATCACGCATCGTATCCAGCAATGTCGAATTGTGACTTGAATATAAGAACTTGGCATAAGTTGTGTGACTTGAATATAAGAACATGTCTGGAATCACGGGGCAATCGGAGACTTTCATTTTACTCACCAGTGCAAAGGAAGACCACGTCAACCTCTTCTTCTGAACCGTCCTTAAAGTTTGCGATGTTGCCATCGAGGCGCTCGACATCGGGCTTCTGTACCAGGTTGTCGGGGAAGACCGTGCGTGGTGGTTCACTGAGGTGATGACTCAGCACCACCTTCTGTGCCACGCTGGTCACCTCCAGTGCGATGTCCATGCCCGACGGCCCGGCTCCGATCACCAGGACGCGTTTGCCCGTGAAGATCTCGGGGACGCGGTAGTCGTGGCTGTGCATCACGTCGCCTGTTTCGGGATTTCGGCGGTTGTAACAATGGTAGTAACAATGGATGGTGAAATAAGTATAGTGTATAAAATGAGTAGTTGAGGCGATGTTTTAAATTAAATTAAAGAAAATAAATGTCTCTCATATTATTTTATAATAACGACCTGCCCATTTATATTTAGAATTTGATTTAGCCCACTGCGTTATTTAGCATTAAGTTTACTTAATAATTTTAGATTATTCAAAAAAATCTCCAAGTTTTTCGGAAAAAAAAGCCTGGATCACTCCTGTCGCTGCCCTCTATGTGTTCTTCAACTTTATAATCAGTGTTGCCATTCCGTAGATCAGCCCTGAGCTTAAAAAAGAACAAGATATGTATTTCAAAATTATAGACAGACATTTAAATTTTATTTATGACATATAAATAAAATTTTAATTATTACATATAAATAAAAATGTAATTAAGTTTTCATGGTGCAGATCTAGCTAGCGTATTATGAAATTTAAGATTTTCTTTAGACCTCTAAAGTAAATAGTTTTGACCGTTGCTTAAAAAAGTCTAAAAAAAGCTTTAGGGCTAGCTTATGTAAAAATTCATATTATATTGTTTGAATTTTTTTTATTTTTTACGAATTATCAAAAACTTTGGCAATGCACTTCTGCCTTATTATTGCTATTTTATTAATGTCTTAGCTATAGAAATCCTATACAGCGGACCTCCGGTAATCCGGCCCCTGGCTAATCCATCCCCTCTTGTTCTATGCTATGAATCCGCCATTGGGGAGGTGTCCTTCGCGAATATATGGACAAACAGGTTGCAATTAGTTCGCGCCACCACGAATCCAGCCGACTCGTTGTCTCAGGTCAAATGTGACTATGGTAGCGGCTTTCATATTTTACTGTTTAGGTATTCATTGTGCATCACATGACATTTTTATTTTTTTATTAATTTATATTTGATATGTAATATGTCGGATTACAAGGTACTCTTTATGAAAAAGTTGCGGACTAACAGGGGGCTGTGGCAGCACTCTATAGTCCGACAAATTTGATAATCCGACACCCAGGGCGGTGCGACACCGACAAAACGTTAGTCGGATTACCGCGAGTTCGTTTTAATGTGAATACCCATTTTTATGGCCGCAAAAACCAGCGATACTAAAGAAACAAAAAGCAGCGGAAAAAGTGTATCTAATGAGGGCTAATAATTTTCCGCTTTACCCGGATGTCGCTCACTTTGAACGAGGTGAAGTTATTAGATACACAATGTACATAATAAGTTGCGTTGTAAATAAATCTATAGGTATTTGGAGTATGGTAATGTTCCAGTGGATTACTCTTTAATTTTTTGTAATTTTAAACTTTTTTTAATCTGTCTACTTTTAGGAATAGTAGTTTGTTTTATCCATATCTAAACATAAACATAAACACTCACCCCTGTCAGCCAGAAGGGTAGGCAGGGACTACAGACTTCCATTTAGCATGATACTGACATACCTCCACATCCATATACACCTGCGCATACATGCTCGTCGGTTAAGGGTAATCTTCATTTGCCCCATTTTTAATATAATGCCAATTTGGTCGATAAGCTTTCGCCTAGGACGTCCTTTTCCGACTCTTGCATTCACTTCTCCAACATATATTTGCTTTGGCACTCTTTCCTCATTCATTCTTTCTACATGATGAAACGACCGAAGCATTTTTTTCTTAATCCTGGTCACAGCATCATCATGCAAACCACACTCTTCTTTAGTAATACAGTTTCTCACCTTTTCAATCAGATTCAGTCCTTACATACTCGTTATCAACCGAATTTATCCATTTCTAATCAAATTAATATAAGATATAACTAATATTCCTGAGGAGAACATTAGCCCTTACATTTTCCTAACATATTAATTTCCTCGCCATGAAATCTTTTAAATATTTTACCTCATTCCAAAGTGACGCCAACCTGGTGGCAGGTAAACCCGTTGGTGCTCTCTTTTTTTCTCAGAAACGTAGCTAACAATTGAGATGAAATAAAATTTTTACTTTCCAAGTATATCGAAATTCGTGTCTTCCTTGAGAAAATTATTTTATACAACACAAAGCAAAGCTCGTCGCCGATGTTAAATGAATCTTTTAGAAGGGAAGGTTACAGCCTATATACGCCTCACTCCTGGGCCTAGGCACAGGTCTCCGCTCAGAGAGGGTTTTGAAGCAAGGAATTGTTCGCCGCGCTGTCCCAATACGTATTGCCGAACTTCACATGTCTTCGAAATATTTTTTTTATTTCCTTAAATTGCACTTAAAAATTTGATTAGTGCCGGTGGTTAAATTACATTAACACGTAATTACAATTACAACCCAGGTTGCTCGCTTACTAATTTATAGCGAGCGCTAACCATCTGAGCTACGACGAATCTTTTGGATTCATATGATATTTGGCCGACAAACGAAGAGGTTACCTTTAAACTCCTTAAGTCCTGGTATACGGGGTATGAACGGCGTGTTGTAGTGTCCATTACAAACAAACACGTAGTCGTATTCCCTAGTCTCTGAAACGCCAGTGGTCAGATCCTTGAAGCTCACATCCCACAGCTCACCGTCAGGACCTTCCTTTGGTTTCACTAGTTGGACGTGGTGTTTGAACTGAAATTGATTAAATTACTTCTCTTGTTGGGTAACTAATAGCCAAATTCAAAAAAGAAGGAGGTCATGATTTTCGTTAAATGGGGTGGAGGTATACTATTTTGTAGCAACGATAATGTCCTCCAAAACGGTCACGGTGGCCAAACCAAACTGAAGACTGCGCAGAACAGGATTGTAGTACCGAGTACCGTGCACTCTCTACTCCCTCAATATCATAGTCCGATGGGATGGTAATTCGACACGACGGTCGAGAGTTTAGGCGCGGGACGAACGGCGTGCGTTCCGAGGTGCGGGCGTGAAACAAATCTAACTCCCTGACTACGAGCTGAAATCCCGATAGCTAATTATGTGATGTGTTATAATTCGAACCCGTGTCCTCATGATCTCCAGTCGCGTTCGGGACCACAAGACCAACGAGGCAGTCTAAAGTAATACTCTTAATAAAGTAATATTTAAGTCATATATTATAATGATATAAAGATGTTGCAAGTATTGTAAACGATTAAAGTCCATTAATAGAAAACAAACTTACTTTTATGTACGGCGTGACGCCGTTTTTATCAGAATACAGCTGGAGGAACGCGAGCATGTCCTTAGCGGGTAGATATGACTTGTCACTCTCCGGCACCGGAAAATCTGGGAAGCCCATAATTTCCTTAGGCAGGTTTGTTCTGAAACATTGTCAATTATTTTAAATTCTATTCACGGAACAGTTTTTGCTCTAAAAACCTTTCAAAAAGTTAACATGAAGCAGACTTAAGAGCTATTTGTATGAAATAAGCGTGGCGTGACATAATACGAGATTAAATACGAAAATAAAATGAATTTACTGTGCTTATTTGTACTAAGAAGCATATTCCAATATTGATGCTGGAACATCATTAAATTAACCCTAAACCGTGAAGTGGCGATGTAAGAATATTCACCACCCCACATCCTGCCGTTAGAGACGCTAGAGGGAAACTGAAATCGGCGATGGTAGTAGCATCTTCCTAGTAATAACTAACAATTATAAAAAACTGTCAGTCGTTGGACTGCAAGTCAGTAGTGAAAACTTTGCGTCACAAAATTGTTTTGGGTTGTTAAGAAATATTTTTTTAAGAAGTATATTTTATTAGAAATTATTTTTATCAATGCATTAATATGGTAAATAAATATTCAATTTTTGCGCTGTTTTACAAGAATTTAACAAAAACATATATGCCTAAAGCAAAAATATATATGTTACGGGCACTGCCTCAAGAACGGTAATTTGGTAAACCTTGGTTTAACCGGTGCTTTTTGAATAAAATCTCTAGACTTTATGATAAATGTCCGCGGCAATATTGCAAAATATAACAAAAGTAATACTTATTTAAATTATTATTCGTATTTTATCCGAAAAGCAGCTGGTAATTCTACTCGTAGGCTTACTACTTCTTCAGGCAATACCTACTCGTAACTTAATACATTTTGTCGTCAACATATTTTCGTACCTAAAAGGGACACACATATGTGTATTATGAAATTATGATTCATGAACGATAGTTGAAACGATAAACAAGATCAATTCTCCTTACTAGGTCAGTCTAGAAATCCTACGTCAATCGGAAATATACAAACATTACGCGACGTCTAAGCCTATATACGATCGATGTACTCAATGGTTTCCTGATAACATTTGACCTTACATATTTACTTCATTATACTTCGACATCATTACGTAAATCTTGCACTCCATTTCTTCAATATCTATCTTACGAAAATGTATTAAGATGGCAAAGTGAATGGACGAAATAATATTAAAACTTGCAAAATCTAACATTTATTAACAATACCCGTACACAAGCGCACAAACACGTGTTTCTACACATTACAACTATAAAAACCTTTGCCCGCATTATTAAAATAAAACAATGCGTTCTACATGGTCCTTCGAGCCGGATCATATGTTAATCCAAGATCCTTATCCTAGAATATACAAGAACATCTCTGGAGGTTGTAGATCAGAAACACATAATCGATCCACAGCGATACATCAAAGTTCCTACGGCATCGCGAAGCTTCTGAGTACTCACGGACTACACGAGGTGACGGATTGTGACATCGCGGTATCTTTAGCCATATACGTCAAGTCACCTAATTTTAAGTCACTTGTAAGACATATAGCACAGTTGTCACTTATTGTAAATAATATTTTTGTAATTGGTTTTTTTTAATTGTACCTTGCGGCCAAACAAAATTTGCGACAGGATCTCTTGGGTGATGAATATATTGGTTTAATTGGATTCGAAAATTAAAATCTTGCCTTTTAATCGCGTTTGCATATAATTTAAAAACTAAAAGACGCAATAAAACTTCTATGTTACTTATATGTTATAATATAATATTATGAAGTATTGAACCGTTGTGATCGATGAAGGTAAAACGCAACAAAAAATTACAATTACTATCAAAGCATACAATTTACCTTAGGCTTTTGTACATGCTCGTGTGTATGGGTAATCCAAAGTCATCATAACCCACATTCTCCGTGTATACCCAGGTCCCGCCGAGTTGTGCCGCTTGTTCCAGCACATCTACTGTAGCTACGCTTGGTTCTACCAACAGGTGGCGGGCGGCACAAAGGCCCGCGGCTCCCGCTCCGATTACACATACACGTGCCATTGCTGTGGAAATAGAGCTGATCTTAGGTAGCAGTATGATATCCTGGTTAATGTTTAAGAGACATTGAATCTGGTTCTTTTCTCACTTAAAGGCTAAGTATAGCCAGCCATTCAGGAAGGAAACGCGGCAAGTGTTCTTGATACTATACCGCGGGGAGTAGGACTGTGGGATAATTTATGATTTTTTATTATAGTTTTTTTTTTAAATATTGTATGTATTTGTATGTTATACCGTCATAGAGGAATTAAAATTAATCTTATCAAAATCGCATCTTATGATATACAATTTTGGGTGACCACTTTACTCTCAGAAACGTTAAAAATTTTATGAAGTAGGTACCTATTTCTCCTACAAACTAATACTTTCATACACAGAACACACTCTAAATATTTTCAGTTTTATAAAATTTCGGGGTGGTCATTAGGCCGCAGCCCAGAAATCTGTTAATACCGTTCTCATATTCTTTATTACGATAATAATATCAGGGAATATAAACGGGCGCTTGTTTATTATGTAAGAACAGGGAAAAATTGATATTTTAAAATTAATTCATTATTATAAAATTAAAGTGATGATTCATTAGATGTACAATATTTTATTTTATTACATGTGTGACAAAAAGTTTTTGATGTACATATTCCTCTGATACGGGTAATAATATGCTACGTAAAGAATTCTGAATGACCGAATTATATAAATTTGAAGATGCAAGGTCAATCTTTTGAGGTCAACACTTTTTAATAGAAGAAGGATGACAAACCAGCACACAGTCCACCTGACGGTAAGTGGATGCTGTGGCCCATAGACATTTATATTTATCTTCGATTAAGAATAAAAATCCCGATGCGTCGGTGTTGTCGTCACCCCCGAGAACAAAAATTGAATGCTTCGTTTCCAGTAAAAAGAGTCTCCGGTTTTCTACACTCACCATACAAAACACAGCAGTGGTAAGCTGTTGTTTTACGCTGATATTCTGTGAGAGCGTGGTTATACTCCGATCGTGCCGACCCATTCGTGCTAACCATAATATAAATAAAGCTGTAGCATAGCGCTTCCACGTAATACTTCCAAGCTAATCTCTAGTTAGGTAGTAACTAGTGCGCTAATCTAGCTAGTAACTACTTTGTGCGGTCGAGCTCGCCCGATCTGGATCCTTTGCACTATAATAATTTAGGATCCTAAATAAGTGCCCTGCATTTGGTATGGTTTAAATAACGGTTATGTTTAAGTGAATGTTAGCTTTAAAAGCTAATTTATGCTTTCTTGTAAGTCGATAAAATATTTAATTGTTAATTTACCTATTGATTATCAATTTTCATTTCTTAGTAACAGGGCGACAGAGGGAAACCGAACAAGGCGATGAGCAGCAGCATGTTCCTGATAACAGCTGAATTAAAACAATTGCAGTATCCAACCCTCTTACCTATGGGTTCTGGTCCAGCAGTAGACTATTGGTAGACCGTAATGATAATCTTATTTAACAGACTCACGGTTACAATTTACGGATTCCATTGTCTCGATATTTTCTGCCATAAAACTATTACATAATTTTGTCATTCAAATTCCGGTACCGTGTAGTGGCGGTGTAAGAAAATCCATATCATCCTGTGGGTGTTGTAATAATAAAGACTTCGGTTGCCAACCCGCTTGCCAAGCGTGGCAACTATGGCTAATATCCCCCCTATGAAGCAATCTATGGGGGTGGCCTACGTTCAGCAGTAGACTTTAATAGGCTGTAACAGTCATTAATATTCAATACGAAAATCAAATCTAAGAGCCGCTTTTTAATTCGTCACTTGAATGTTACACATTAAGGTATTTAACACTATAACCTGGCTGAATATAAAAAGTGAAAGAATTGGACTATTTCGTTCGTACAGCAGTAGTTTTTAATTGGTTTGTGTTGTATTATATGCTATAAGTAGCTCTTATATGAGGATTGAAATCGGCCTAAGTTAACAATAAGGTAATATATTATGTTTACCAAAGTAAAAGATATATACAAACATAAACATAATTTGTTTACGATGCAAAGGCGGAAACATAGTCCGAGGGACAGGCGCTCAGACAAAGCAAACATATATCTTACGTTGTATACGTTGGCTTTGTGATAGTGACGGGGCAGGAATGTCAGGGTTGTGAACGATTAATCCTTCAACACGCGGGTTCGACACTCGGCTACATGTTACGATGTTTTTATTGTTGTGCACTGTCATAATATACATTAAATGATGTTACTTATTCCGCACTCTGTGCAACGACGAGTCATACAATTTAAAACACCTTTTTTTATCAATTATTGCATTAGCATCATCCCAATATCCCCCTATAAGGCAATCTATGGGGGAGGCCTATGTTCAGCAGTGGACTTTAACAGATTGTAACGGTAACGGTGACATAACATACATTAAATTATTTAATTAAGGCGCTACTCATAGCGAACGACCTCTAGCGTTCGGTCCTATACAATCCACGCGCTCTCGCTACGATATATCGCGTAAGAAATACGCCCAAATTTATGGAACAATTTCAATTTAAAAAGAGAAGTGAATTTAAGAAATTAAATAAAACGTGTAAAATAGAGATTTTAAATTATCTATCCATTAGTGTTATCATCAAAAGCTATAGAGCGTTGCCTTTAGCAACAGATGCATTTAATCAATAATTTTAGTCATTTATTAAAAGTTGATTTTAAATGTATTTATAACACTTAAAAACAAATTAGAACGTGGAATGTGATGATAAATATCGGACATTAATAATGTACTTTTAAATGTAGTTTATTTCTCATAGCTAATGAGATAAGTCTCTGAAAAACGCACTATCGCAAGGTTTTGGTCGGGGTATCGCCTTAATAGAATCAAGCTACTTTACGTTACTTTACGGAAATCCATTACTTATATTGAAGTTGTTAAGAAATAATTCGGACACATCCGCTTAGTAAATTAAATTATTTATGTCATACCTAGTTAGAAGAGCACCTCCCACCCTCCTTCGATTGCGTGCACTAATCCCGTCACCGCTAATCCCAGCACCACTACACTCTTTAAACTAGGTAAGTCACATTATTTTATTTTATTGAGTGGATGTTTGTGAATTAATTAAATTATTTTACTTATTTCGCACCATGTGCTGCCTAACTAGGCCTAATAATAATATAACAGTCGCCAGATGTCGCTCTTTGGCACTGAAGTGATTTTATTTATCACGGCAACGGTCACACAATGTCATCATCATTGAAAATTTTCGTTTTAAATATAAAAAAAAATCTGTTTCTAGTTCCTTACACAAAATAAATGCCTCGGTGCTGAGCTCTTTAATTTTTTTACAAAATTTAACTTTTTCCTTTAATTCTTCTAGTTTATGGATCAGCAGTTTAGTTTATTGATTTCTAGTCTAATTAATATTAAATATAACTAATATAGTAGACGAAGTGTATTGCATTCACCCACTGGATGGAGTGACGACCTGGTAAGACATGCAGGAAGTCGTTGGATGCAGGTGGCTCAGGTAATGCTTTATGGTATTCCTTGGGGGAGGCCTACGTTCAGCAGTGGACTTGTGAAGGGCTTTAGTAATAATGGTAACTAATATTTTAAAAAAACTCAACAGTCTACATTTTTCTCACAATATAACTTCCCTCGCTATGAAATTTGTCAAATATTAGTTGTCACCTCATTCCAAACTCGCACCGCCTTGGTGGCTTACTTTTAAAACATTAGTTGGTGGCTGAAAAAGTTGTGGATTATTGCATTATCATGATATATTCTGGATTCTACAACAGCGCCACCGCCCGGGTACAACTATACCTAGAACCTTCGCGGAAGTGCAAGCAATATGTTGATGAAGTTTTACTGCAATCTGATGAACGGAATGGCAGCGCATAAAATACGAACAAATAAACATTAATTTTTATATACTAGATACGAAAGACTAACGCCCCTTCACTAACATTTAGCGGTAAGAGATATAGACTACAAAGGTTCACGTCATTTGACATTTCGATATGCAAGGTTGTACAAGATTGCCGGGACGTGACGATGATGAGAGATGAGAAGGTCTTCTTCTCTTAAGCTTAAGCTCTTAAACTTCTTTTAAGCTCAGGGAGTTATTTGCCTACTATTAAGATATGAACAACCATTTTTTTTTAAATATTTTTTTGTGTCTATAAATAATATTATTTAGATTTCTGTGGTCCGGGCTAATATTTGGAACAGCAGAACCGAATGTGATGAAACCTTACGACGTTACGTTACGTTACGTTACACTTTAACATCTATATTCTAAAGTCTCTTTTTAAATAATAAGGATGACAAAGGAGCACACAATTCACCTGATGGTAAGTGGATGCCCATAGACATCTACATCTATCCTCTATTGAGAATCAAAATGCTGGTGCGTTTTCACCCTTGATGTATCATATGTGCCATTAAGTTACTATTTTACGCTGGCTTTCTGTGAAAGTGGAGTCTCTCCCCTGTCGAACCGACACATTCGCCCTATAACTATAATTAGCTGTGGAGTGGCTCTACCACGTAAGTTTTATGTAGTCGATTTTTTACATCTTCAACAAAATTACCAGTGTTAACGAATAAAGTATCACTTTATTAGAAATTTTTAATGTACATAAAATGAATAGATCTTTAATTTTTACAGTTTTCGAGATAATAGCAAAGAACGTTTCTATAATAGCTGAAATACCACTATTGCATATCTGGAAGTTTTTTGTTTAGTTCTACGAAGTCGCGCGTAAAAGCTAGTTATTTCAGGTTTGGCTCTTGCCCTGTGGGGCAAATTAACTAACAGTTATTACGTAACCCATACGGCCTCAGAAGATGGAATTGCCCGGTTAGACACGTGAGTTAATGTGGCTAACCGGGCTATTCCATGTCTTATATAATATAGTATAGTTTTCGTAACAGGAATCGTAGATTCTTAGCAAACCCTCGGTCTTTATAAATTTTAATTGTTGCATTCCGGTCGCATTACAGTAGGAAAAAATGACTTAAATTATTGTTCGGTGCAAAATGCTGCGACTTCAAAAAAGGAAAAGACTCTCAATTCGGGTGTGTTTGTTTTTGTGAGAATGTTATGCGATGCGATTACTTCGCCGCTTGTAAATCGAATGTAATCATTCATATATTGAATAGAATTTACTTGGAGGTTATCGGCGCAACCATGTTTATATTCAATAAACATTTCCGGATTCTACTGGACAACTCTTTGTAAATAAGGCAACTCTTCGAAAGCGTTCCATTCTACTTCATTGAAGCAAATGTTCGTTTGAGACCAATTACCAAGTAATTACATTTTGTTATGAGTTTGAAACATCAATGAATATAAATTACTTTTTAATAGAAGATAATAAATCCGGAATAATGTCTTCCTGACCGAATTTCGGTGGGACGACATTCCGACACGACCGGAGAGAACGGGCGTAGGACGAACGAACGGCTTTACGTGCTTTCCGAGTAGGGTTACCAGCTCTTAAAACTGAAAAGCCGGACAGACTAGCGAGCTTAGCCGGACAAACCGACCCGAAGTAAAGAGGCCGGACACTCTTATTTTTTATCATAGTAAAAGACATTTTTTTTTAAATTAAAGCAATGCTTTTTATCATTTACCACAAAGTTCTAACGAAATAACAACTGAATACATCAGTCTTCTTTGTTATTAATTATTCAATATTAATTTCAATAATTGCTATAGTATGTATGTAAATATATGAAAAATATAAAAAAAATTGTCAAATTTAAAAAGCCTAACAAAAGCCGGACACCGTCTAATTTGGCCTGACACGCAACCAAAAAGCCTGGCTTTATCCGAACGTCTGGCCACGCTATTTCCGAGATATGGGACTAAGCCGCCAACCCTCGGAATTCGGACTGCTACTGAGAATTTCTTGACAGAAAAACCCAATACTGCAATATTGGGTTGACCGGGAATTCTAATCCTGGTCAAATGATCAGTAGTTGCGCTTACGGCCACTAGTCCAACGAGGCATTCAAATACATTAGTGTTCGCCTAATTTTCGTACGTACGTACTAAACGCCTATTTTTTAAACGCATTCAGGACGTTCAGGGAGATTCTATATAACTGTTTGCCTAAACATTAACCCCTTATTTGCCTTCGAGAATCTCCTAAGATGTATATCGAAGAATAAAACATCTGTAAATGGTATAATATAAGATCGAGGAAAAAGTTTCTTTTTATTTTGTTTGGATAAAATTGAAGAAAAATCTCTATGGGGTACTGTTTGTATCTAGCTGATTTTAATGTCAATACATATCAGACATTAAAAAAACGAAAAATAAAAGTAGAAAACACTTTCCCGTCTTCCCACCACTTTTCAATTGTTTTTCTATCAGCGAAAATGATCGAATCTAACGAAGAAATTCGATACATTCTGAAGTTTTATTACAAAAAAGGGCAAAATGCGACTCAAGCCGCGAAAAAAATTTGTGACATTTATGGACCTAATGCAGTGTCAGTAAGAATACACGAAGTTGGTTCAAGCGTTTTCAGCCCGGGAATTTTGATGTTAAAGATGCAGCTTGCTCTGGTCGCCCTCATGCAGATAAAGAAATATCATGCAGCTATATTATATACAGACACAGAATACCAACGTAAAATAATAGTTTAATGCTGCTGTGTTTCGTTTGATGAGTGCACGAGACCGATGAGTTATTGTAACGAGGTTTTCTGTCATAGTCCTCAGGGGTGACAACGCTTCTACATTTTTATTCTTAATTGAAGACAGACTCAGGATCTATTAGGCCAGACATCCACTTACCATCAAGTACACTGTATGCGCGTTGCTCACTCTTATTCTTTAAACAAGGTCAATCTACAACTACGAACAATTTGTGTAACTAACGATGAAATAAATTTCACTTTTTCCTATATTACTGTACTTACAGTACTGGGAGTACGGGGAACACTGCAAATAATAAAATAGATAATAATAATTCCATTTTACACGTAAGGCATTAAATCTAATATATACAAAATGAATATTTGTTTTCTGATGCGCATCTGCGAAAGTTTTTAACAATTAAAGAGGCACAACAATTAACAACTCGTGCCGGGTGCAACTAAGTAGCAGATAATAAAATTATTATTAAGTCAGCTAATGACTTGTGTAGAAAGATTGCATTATTTGCTATACATGCCCTCGCCACTAGCCTCATTCCATCCATCTTGTAATTATCGTTATTCAATTTTTAATAAACTTTAATTAGAAGTGCTTGTTTAACAATTATGCTGAAAATTTTCCTTAGGAATTTTGTTACTCTGTATAAATAGTGTTTTTTAATACTTTTGCTAATCCAGTCTTATAATAGCATATATTTGAGCATGTAAACTTATGATATAGGAATTTAAACCATACAGAGATTAAGTAAGATTTTGGGAACCTTCAGGTTTTTGCAGTAAGAATATCTTAGAGTATACATTAGTAAGCTATTATATAATTATACTCTAAGAAAAATATACTTTCAAAATATAAAACACCTCTAAAAAACAAATTGCTGCGCGGAAACATTATGAAATTAAACCAAGAAAATTAATTCGATACATATCTCTCTTAAGGCACAGTAAGTGCAGTCTCATTTAAGGTACAGTAAGTGCAGCAAAACTTTACTTTCTTGCCATCTTATCAACGTGTGTTCTTAATTTGAATTTGGTATATACATTGATTAAAACTACATTTACGGATTTTATTGCGTTTTATTTAGATAAAACGCCATGAAATCCGTAAAAGTAGTTTTAATCAATGTGTAGTGTTCGCGTAAATATAAGAAATCATTGGTGTATACATGGTGAAATTGATACTTGTACTTTTCGTACATCCACCAATTACATCCTATAAAAGTCTAGGTCTGCATATAGGCCACCCCAAAGATTTCCTATTGGCGATAATTTTGCCATAGTTGCCATGTTCGGCAAGCGGGTCGGCAACCGAAACCGCTTATTCTTTAGTTGTGATTAGGGAGAAGCTGTTGCCCATTTCATGGCTTTTCCCCTCTGTCACCGCTCGCGTGTTATTTTAAGACTCTAATATGTTATTGTTATTACTTTATTATGTTTTAAGATTAATTTTGCATTTAAAGCGTTTAGCATACGGCACAACGTTACAGCAGTTCAAATATCGGTTTTATCGATTTCGATTGTCGATCTTATGTAAAAAAATAATCCAATTCTTAGAGTTATACAATCCACAGTACATGCAATTTTTCCATCGTCATTGAGGTGGCAGGGCGTCGACGACAGAAAAAACATATTTGATTTTTTTTAAGATTTTAGGATTTTCTCCTGTATCGTAGAGAGGTAGTTTACAGACTCGGAAAAATTGTTTGTAGACCAAACAAATATTTGTTTCGTGCGTCATTCGAACTTACAAGTGATAACAATAATGATCTCTAATTATAACCCCATCAGCACCTCACTGCTGGATATTGTATGCAACATTGTGCGCTCTGTCAAAGGACAAATTTTACAACAAGAAAGCTCAGAAACGACTATTATAGATAATTTCTCTGTGGTGACAACTCATCTCTCACATAACGTCTGGACTTCGAATCCTAACACAGTTGTTTCGACATCAAAAGTAATTAATGACTATGTAATACATTTGTTTACTATATCTGACATTATATTAGCGGAGTAGCATAGTTTTATGTTAGCTAACAGCTACGCTTATGAAATTTTATACTTAAGAATATAGGTGTGTACCAACATTACGTCAAGTGCAATGCAAGTTAATAAATTCAATAAGTTTCCAAATGAACGAGTGTAATATAATAAACGTAGTTTAATAATCCGAGGTAAATTTTTAAACGTGCAAGTTAAAAAGTGCAACCTGCACTTCGAAAAATTACCGTGACTTCGATCACTATAAAATCAATTGATAAAGGATAGCAATTATTCGAGATTATGTACTGGCTGATAAACCTCTGCGCGGAGACCGGGTCGATGACACATTGCAAAAGCAAATTCAAATAAGACAAAATTTATCTAAATAATTTATCAAGATTGAGAAAGTAAATAGGGTAATTTTTCGTATTTACTCTATAATATTTTCAGTTTATTTAAGTTTGCTAAGTAAAAAGTTTGAAGTAAGTTTTTAATACATTGCAACTTTTTCGAAAAACCTTTAATTCATTCCGTCTGATTTCGACATTAACTCATATTTTGGATAAAAAAAAAGACTTAATAAACGATAATGATCAGAATCGATGTATTAAGCTTGTGACACTATATTACTCAAAAAAAAAAAACATTTTTTCGCTTCGTAGATAAAAATGTCATGAAGCGAACTAACTCACCTTAAGAAAATATTCCTGGTTTAAAAAAATAAAAACACACGTAGTTTCACTCAAGTAGGTAATGTTTCAATTTAATTAGTGTGTACTGTTTATGGAATCAAGTTGTTTTCGTTTATCTACTTGACGGGCGACGCGTAAATGGCGGGAAACTTATTTCTGCCGCTGTTTTATGTGACCCTTTTCGTAAGCGGTTTGAATGTGAAAATGATACATAATATGTTTTCTTTTAAATATTTTTGAATAAATGAATTAGCTCTTGGTTGTTCCAATATTGTTTGGGATTTAGTCAAAACAAAACTTTACCTTAAAATAAAAACGACTACGTACAATTATTATAATTAATATATTATATTAATTATTATGTTATAACATAAACACTCACGCCTGTAACCCAGAGGGGAAGGCAGAGACTACGGACTTCCATTTGGCACGATCCTGACATACCTCTCACGCTTCCTTTACATCCATATATCTACGCATACACACTTGTCGGTTAAGAGAATTAGAATATAGATTATTAAAATAATAATTGTGTTCAGATGCGACATTTCTGTAAGTACTTAAGTATAGGACGAATATATTATTATGCACATTTTTTTGTAGAAACATATATAAGTTATTATAATTAGGCTAAATTTTTCATGTTGAAATCTGCTTATTATTCTTTTACTTTATTTTTAGGTTTCCACATCAAAGTCAAAGTGGAATAAATTCGTCCATTTTTAACTCTCGCGTGCCCAGCAACCCAGCATTTATTTATGAACGACTCATATTCTAATTTAAACAAATATATTTTTAATTTAAATGTTATGTTGATAAGTTTTGTTAAACATACATTTAGTATGTTTTTATATTTGACATAGATACTTACCTCTTAAATATTCAGGTAAAAATATCATTAAAATGTAATTGTGATACATTATTATGTAATATTATATTAAATAAACAAATATAATATACAAAATAAATGACAAAATTTAAATATTGTTCTCGATATAATTTACATATTTAACAATACAATCTACTATTACCTACGGGTCATTCTACCTATGTTTATTCTATGATAAAAAAAACAACCGCGCGAACACCGAGTAGCGCACATTTTTTGTTTGATATAGCTGTTCTAATACGTAAGTACATATTACTTCAATGGTCTAGGTCGCCCTTTCCGACTCTGCCGTTCACTTCTGCAACATAAATTTGCTTTGTCACTCTTTCCTCATTCATTCTTTCTAAATAACCAAACCACTAAAGCATTCTTTTATTAATCCTGGTCACGACACCCTCTATTATATTATACAGGAATGTCTCACGGCAGAGTTAGGATTTTGAAAGGAAATAAAAGTCAATTTGCATATTTTTGTGAAAACATTTTTATTGAAAATTATTGAACTATAATGCGGATTTTATTTTTTAAAGATTACATCTTCCTGATGTCTTCCATTTCGAAGCAAGCCTTCACGGAAATGATTCATCGCATTTTGCATAACGCGCCTAAGCATAGCCGGCTCGATGTCGCGTATTTCTCGTTGGATATTTTGTTTTAGCTCAGCGATATTCCTCAGAGTATTGACGTAAACTTTGCTCTTAAGGTATCCCCATAGGAAGAAGTCCATGGGGGTTAAATCTTGTGATCGCGGAGGCCACAAGATATCACCAAAGCGGGATATCAATTTTTGAGGAAACAATTCACGAAGTTGGTCCATAGTGACTCTTGCAGTGAGGCAAGTGGCTCCATCCTGCTAAAACCATGTTCTTGAGCTGTAGGCTGGATGCTCTTGAAGTTGGGGTATAAAATAATTGGATATCATTTGCCGATACACCTCACCAGAAACAGTTATCGTAGCACCTGTCGCATTTTCCAAAAAATACGGCCCGATTATTCCATTGACCGAAAGAGCACACCACACTGTCACTTTCGGGCTATGCAGCGGTCTTTGATGTTATTGTCTGGGATTGACAACTGACTAAAAGCGACAATTTTGTTTGTTAACATATCCATTTAAATGGAAATGTGCTTCGTCACTCCAAAACACAGTATTCAAAGTGTGAAATCTCTCAATGATTGTCTGGCAAAAACTTTTGCGTAAATTGTAGTCATTTTCATTTATTTCCTGCGCAATCTGTATTTTATAGAAAGAAAGAACGTATGTATGTAGTAGGTACTATTATTTATTCTGTGCTAAAAGTGAAAATATTCATCTATGGCAAATATCGAACAGACAACATTTTCTCGAAGTTTTTATGAAACAACATCGATGACCTTGCTTCATGTTATTGCATATTAATAACTCTCATATATATATATATATATATATATATATATATATATATATATATATATATATATATATATATATATATATATATATATATATATATATATGAATATTTTCTTTTATAAAATTTAAAAAGTTTCTGTCCGACACTGCTCGTAAATTCATGGATACCCTATGCGCCCGAGTGACGTAATCACTGTAAAGATCACCGCCCGCGCTAGATACCTACACAGCATTCTAATAAAAACACAATAGGTACAGATAACCTGTGATGTAACTTTTCCTTCGTACTTTCATCCTGGTTTAGGACAGGCAAAAATTGAGGAATTAAGTAAAAATTGAGTTTTTACTAAAAAAAATGTTGTTATTCTTCATTGAATTTACGTTCTATAAGTGAAACCAAAGCACTAGTTTTAACGATAACGGTGTTTAAACTAACAGCCTGTATATATATATACATATATATAATATTTATTTATTTATTTAATCTTTATTATATACACCTTAAGGGAAGTCTGCCCTTTATATCCCTAAGGGATATAAAGGGCAGACTTAATGCCTTATGGCATGAGAGTAATTTATATTTTCGAATAGCTGTTCCCCGCGATTTTGTCCGCATGGAGTTTATTACGGATAAATTTCATAGGTTTTGATTCTTTTTGTGCGAAATCTCACTTACTTTTATAAAATTTGTCCTATTTACTCCTTAAACACATCAACTACCTGTCAGTGAAAGTCGTCAAAATCGTAGATTAGCAGTAACAAACAGACAGAGAAACCGACAGAGAGACCGACAGATAGACAGACAATTTTTTTAAAATAGTATAGTATCGTATATACTATGCTTTCATATGCATTTAGTAAACATATATTATTTTGACATGACAAACATACACTTCAATTTTATTCATTTGTATGGATAAGAAACACGTTCCCTGAAGCCAATGGCTTAACAGCTTGTTTATTTCTCTGTTTTGATACTTACTAGTAAATATCGTTTGCGATTAAATAGCACCTTAAAATACTATCGATAGGATTCATTATTGCACTTCCGAGCAATTACTGATTAACAGATAGGGGACTCCGTGGCAACGAGGAGTCCGATAAACTAGATCGTGAATAGACAGCACAGTTCGTCTGGAATCGGAGTCTATTACTGAAGAGGATTGTGAAGTACCTGTGGTATTTAAATATTTTCAAAAATGCTCTGTTTTATACCACTCGCTCTGCCTCTCTCCGAGCGTGGTAGAGAGAGTTGCAAGTCTTGGTGGCAAATGCCTACATTTCCCTTTTGAAATATAGTTTCGGACGATAACGTTTTCACCCACCTAAACCTTTATGAAATGAGGCAATTTTGGTCTCATTCAATTCAGTATACCTTAATCTAAATCTGTGTCGTTTTTCTTTTTAAGTAAATCAGTTTAGTTTAATTAAAAAAAATAAAACGCTCGAGGAAGTTTTTAAGTCAAAAATATAGATATTTAGATTCAAATAACTTATATCGCACGCAACATTTCTTTAAAGTAAAAATGGAAGTACCTAGTTTTACATTATATATACAACATTTCCAATTATGAAAATTAGACTGTGCTTACATTGGGGAAAACGTTATCGCTTTTTGAATGAAAATTTACAGCTTCACAATCCTCTTAATACATATTTCTTTTTAGCATGTTAGTTCTCTGGTACGTACGCGTAAAATAAAGAAAAGTTACAGCCGATATACGTCCCACTGCCGGGCACAGGCCTCCCCTCATTTCTGAGAAGGTTTTAGGACAACGAAGTGTCCGCCGCGCTGCCCCAATGCGTGTTGGCGAACTTCACATGTCTTCGAAATATTTTTTTGTTATTCCTCAGACATGCAGGTTTTCTCACAATATTTTTTTTCTTCACCGCCAAGCACGTGGTATATCAGCACTTAAAATTGCAATTAACAATTTCATTGGTGCCGGCGGGAATCAAACCAAAGGGCTACTCGCGTTCTGTTATATTTACAGCGAGCGTTAACTATCAGAGTTACCACGGCTCTACGTATGCGTATTACAATTTAAATCTTTTCGGTATCTTTTCTACATTCTTACATTCGTATTCGTTCACATCGCATATATCAACGCATACATGCTCATCGGTTAAAAGTAAGGGTGCTTAGCGTGGCCCATTTTCAATATATCACCAATTTGGTCGATAAAAATTCCATCTAGGGCGTCCTTTGCCGACTTTGTCAATCACTTCTGCAACATAAATTTGCTTTGTTACTCTTTCTCGTGTTTAAGCCATCGAAGAATTCCTTTTGACGTGACAACGTATAATAAATATATGAACGACGGATGCATGCACGAAAAAGGATGACTCATTGTCCCGTTACGCTCCAGCCGAGCCAAACACGATCGGAGTGAGAGCGCGGCACGAACGAGCGAAAGGCACGATTGGCTTGAGCGTTCGGCTTGCGCCACATCTATCTATCTACCACTCGATTGGACGCAACTACCGAGTGCAAATAAGAGCGAGGCCCCATTAGTGCGTTGCGCTGCGTTGCGTCGCGTCATCGCAACGGAACAACGCATTGTATGCCACACCTGTGTTGCGTTGACGCTGCGCCAACGCAATGCAAGAGGGTATGCACGCCGACGCAGCTGCGCCTCAGTTCAGCCTTTGCAATGGATAGATACAAACGTGTTCTTTTGTTCCTTTTATTACGGCACCGCCGAAATAAACGTAGAAATCATAGAAAATTCCGGATATCTCCTTTGACAGCATTAAGAAATAGTGATGGTCAGTTTTTTATGCAGGAATATAGGGAGTTGTTATTAGATGAAAAGACTTTTTTCAATTTTTTTAGAATGAGTGTGGCCAGCTTTAATAATTTGGTTGAAACCTTAAAACCACATATAAAAAAGCAGTATACCAAATTCAGGAACCCTTTAGAACCAATTGAAATGATTGGTATTACATTGAGGTAAGTAATTCAAATATCGTAATACTCGTAATGTTAATCAGTTATTAATTTATTATCATTAAAAACAGTTTAACTTAAATTAAACTTTTATTACTATTAGGCAACAAAGCAAAGTTATAATTTCTTCTTGACTATCATCAGTAAAATTATTAATCGTAGTGTTGGCTGAGTAGGTAGCTTCGAATTCATCTTCGATACGACGATGGCGATGGTGACTGGGCATGTTGTCCAGTTTGATATCCGCGTGACTGCAATGGTGTTGCTTGATACTGTTGTCCAGTTTGATATCCGCGTGACTGCCATGTTGTTGATTGAGTCTGTTCCCCGAACCGAATTTCGGTAATGATATTTATAATTTTGCTTTGGAATTTCAAAGTTTGTAATTCCGTAAAGCTGTCCAAAGAAGGCAAAATTCCTTTGAAAAATGATAAGTGGCGGTTTTCTTTCTCTTGCAACGCTTCTAATGCTTGCGCCTCGAAATCATCTATTGCTTGGTTTGATCTCTTACAGCTTGCAGGCACGTAGCGAGAAGGACCTGGGGGTAACGAGGACATTTCTTTTGTAGGAAATGGAGAAGATGATGCTGTGTTTTCACCATCTTCTTTCCGTTTCTTCAGACACCATTTCAAGGCTACTGTCAGTTTTATTTTGGGCAACTTTCATCAAAAACAGCAACTGATTGCAATAATGATATTTTTTCAACTGTTTTGCCCCTGATCCAGACGAACTGTTTTCTTTTATTTTTTTTTACGTATCGAAAAAAGTTGTCCTTCACGCTTCTCCATTTTTTCACAACCTCGTTACCTGCAAAGAAAGAAAAAAATGTGTAAGTACCTAACTTGTCTACACTGACCAATCTAAATGGGCCACCCTGTTTATTTTTTGTGTTTCTATTTCAGGTACTTAGGCAGCGGAAATTCGATAAACGACTTGCATTTCAAATTTAATCGTGGAAGAGCAACAATTTCTAAAACTATTTCGTCAGTTTGTCAAGCTATATGGAAATATGTTCGACCACAGTACATAGAAGAGATCACAGTAGAAAAACTACAAAATATTGCATTAGATTTTGATCTCAAAGCTAACTTTCCTCATTGCTTCGGGGCAATTGATGGGAAACATATACGTTTAATAAAACCAGACAAAAGTGGCTCTCTGTTTTATAATTATAACAATTATTTTTCAATTGTATTGTAGATACGTGGAATGTGCATTTGGGATCATGGCAAATAAATGGCGCATTTTACATAGGCCAATTGATACGTCATATGATTTAACTATTAATATTGCGAAAGCATGTTGTGTTTTACACAATTTTGTTATACAACACGATGGGTTAAAACAACAAAACAATATGGCAATAAGTAGGTTCCCATAATTGAGACCGCATAGCAATGAAGAATCATTAGCAGAAAATTTTATCAGAGATCAATTTGCTAATTACTTTATGAGCCCAGAAAGGGCTTTACCATGGCAGTTGAAAAAGATATAAATTAACTTATGTATTGAATTTACAAATAATATAATAAATAACAACTTACCAATCTTGTTCTTTTTTTGATCCTCAAACTTCTCGTAATCTTGAAATATTTTTTTACAAACAGCTACCCATTCATTCGCTTTACGAAATTTATCACTGTAATGTTCGTGTGATTTATCCCATATAATGGGTCTTTCTTGGACCAAGGATATGAGAAAATCTATATCAATATCCTGCTCACTCATGGTAAGATAAAAAATGTCGTTACGCTCGTCTAGCTTCCTCCTCATCATATACATAGCAGTGCATCACTGTCCGTCGTCGCAGCGGAGCTCCGACAACAAATGAGGGGGGAAGGAAAAAGAGGGGGGGAAAAAAAAGAGATAAAAAAAGGGTTAAAAAATTTGAGGAAGGAAATTTTTTTTTTTGCAGCGCATCACCCTCCCTCCCGCTTCGTCTCTTGTCCGTCGATCCGTTGAAAAGTCGCGCGTGACGACGCAACGGTCTAATGGGGCATGTCATAAAAATGTATGGAAAACGACGCAGCGACGACGCCGCGACGACGCTGCGACGACGCTGCGACGACGCAACGCAGCGCAACGCACTAATGGGGCCTCGCTCTAAAAGTAAATTTATCAATTAAATTGTAGATTTTATTTCAATCCTTCTTTGTATTCATACAAAATAGCGACAATTCAATAAAAATAATTCAATTTTATTCATAAAAGTATGTAATGATTTCATCAATGTTTTGTTATGACATAGTCACGTTAAACTATCGTCCGTAAACAGAGTTTACAGACAACCAATTTTTTGATTTTGGTCACATTTTCTTGCAAACCAAACTTCTCTTATCGTAATTTAAAGACACCCCTATTACACGTCTTAATATCCGCATTTGTAGCTTCTTCTTCTGCCACTCCCAACTTTCACTATAGTCTTTCACATGTATTGAGGCAGCGATCATAGAACCTTAATATTCGCCCAAATCGGATCGATTCGAACCTATCAGAATGTGTTGTCGTTTGTAATGCGAATAGCCAAGGAGTAAAATAATTTGGCAGCGCCAGTCTTTTGTTAAGGGAAGTAACGCGCTTTACATCTTTAGCTACATCAACCCTATAGTGTGAAAAAGTATTAAATACTGGCTTATACTACGTAAAAATTTTCAGGTAAACTAAAGAAGCTCGGCCTATTCCAAGCTGACGTATCTTCGTTCTGAATGATGAAAAATAAGTGCCAGTGAGAGTGTTTGTGAGTGAGAGTGAATATACTATACCTGCCATTCTGATTGGGTGCGGCATGGTATATCCACTCTGCAAAGTTTAGATTTTTAACGATCTATTGTTGCCGTGCTGTAGACAATTGCAGCTCGGACTGATTATATTTTCGAAAATTTACAAAATCGTCATCCTTGGTTACTTCTCTGATACTGGACCGATTTATTTTTCAAGAACTATATAAAAAAAGATAGTGGTTATGTATATTCGTGGTTACGTTGGTTTAATTCGTATGCTGGGTGTCTAATTGCGATTAATAAATCTAGTTTTAGTAATTTTAGATTATTTTTTAACTTATACCTAGTTTTTAAAATAATCAATTTACATTAAAAAATGAACATGGCGGTAGTAGATATAGATTGTATTGTAAAAAAATATTTGCTTTATTGTTATCATCCAGGAAAAAAAACAGGGCGACAAACGTTTGTATGGATGAAACGCCGTCATATCATAACAAATTCCATTTAGGTACTAGGTATAGGTTTTTATAGAATAGGTACGTTTAACAAACGAGCACACGGTCACCTGGTCATAAGTGGATGTAGTGTCCCTTAAACATCTACATTTCTTAAGAATCAAAATGCAGATGCGTTGTCACCCCTGAGGACTACGGTGGAACGCCTCGTTTCCAGTAAAAAGGGTCCCCGTTTCTCTACACTCACCATACAAAACACAGCAACATTGAGGTGCTTTTTTACGCTTCTATGTAAGTTCTCTGTGAGAGCGTGGTTCTTCCCCGGTCGATGTGACTTGTGCTGCTACCATAATATAGTTTCATCATGATTCTTTCACATAAAGGTTAACAGTTCCTTGTGTTTCACAATATTTAAATGCACTCTGTTCCCCTGTTCAGGGCATACAAGAGAGAGGAAGAAGCACGGTTCAAGTTCTGCTCGAAGATCACCACCTACAAGGATATAGGCTAAACATTTCGGCTCGTTAAGACTGCTTCAAGAGGTCTGCAGAAACATTAAGGGTTTATTGAGCTTCCGCATAACTCAAGGAATTTGAGTAACGGACACGACTGTGAAAAAGAAGACTGTATATAAAGATGATTGTTAATCAACCACGCAGTTATAACAACACAATAAAAGTAGAAGGGATTTAATTAATTAAATGTCAAATAGATACATTTTATTTATAAAAAAAGGTTATAGAATATCTTTTGTGTATATGTAGTAGAGCATATTGGGTTGAGTCCTTCGATTCTTCATATTTTCATTACTTGAACGAATTCCACGCCAGCAAAGCCGTAGGCAAGAGACAACTCGATTCATTTTGCAACTCAAATGTTTATTATACTGTCCTAGATCTAATTCTTGTACACTTGTTACTTAATTTACCTAAGTTAAATTGAACGTTGAAAACATTAACTTTATTACAGTTTCTATAGATGACTTTATAGATCAACTTAAACTGGCGCTAAGTAATGATGAAACTTATTGGGCGAATTACTTTAGCACTTCCTATGAAAACGGGACAGCGATATAAACACAAGTAAATAAACAAACAAATAGTAGTTTATCTTGGTGTATGCTAACTACTCAAACTTTATATATATATAAAGTTTAATATTACGTAATTATATTTTTTTAAATATGATTACATTAGTCTTCCTCATCTTATCAACCTATAATAGTACATTGCTAGACTTTCCATTGCACAATAAACACGACTGGGCATTTTCCGTTGCACAATAAAAACGACTGGTGGGTGAATTGACCATCGCGGCACGAGGTCACACCTATGACGCTTCGTACATCGCCGACAAGTGCTGAGCAGTCAGAGGCGGATGTCCGCACTCCCCCCTCGGACAGTGGTTAGATAGGGCAATAACGGCTAAAAAAGGCGACATGATGATTGGTAACAATACCAAACCATAAATCATTTCATCATCATCCTCACGTCTCCTTTCGCTTTTTTAATTACTTACTTTTTAACGACTCAGGGCTCGCGGCCTGCAGATGAAGCTGTAAGAGTCGTATAGACTAACAGCAATAACATCCAGAAAAAAGACTTGACGCTTCGTATCATCGTCAGGGTATTTTACACGACCTATATGTGCAGTTGTCTATGGTCAAGTATTTTGTCATAATATCGCGCTTCATAAGTAAAACGTAGCAATGAAGAAGGTAAAAAAATATTTTTTTTCATAGGACAGGAGGCAAACAATCATACGGTTCACCTGATGGTAGGTGATTACCGCCTATAGATAGCGCATTGTGAGAGATTGATATAATTTATTAAAATGTGGTGTGACGTAATGTAGATAAGTTGTTAATAAGGAGAAGAGGCGTGTTGATCTGTCTACGACTTTAACTTAGGCTATAACATAAAAAAATAATGTTCGGCGCAGCGTGCGGCGTTACAGCGTGAATCCCATACAATTCGAGCAGCGGGCACTCAGGACGTTAAGACGAGGTCTTAGCACGATTTCATATTCGTTTTTCACCCGCGCGTCCCGCAGTGGGCGGAGCGCAACCGGCAGTCGGAGAGCTCAGCGTGAACACAGTATGCGCAAAGCAAGCAGATAATTCACCTCCAAACAAAAACTTACCTCCGGACTTGACGAAGTGACCTGAAGGTGTACTTTGCTAATCAGTATTGGAACTGGTCGCTGAGTAGCGACCAAAGAGATTACCAAAGTACACCTTCAGGTCACTCCGTCAAGTCCGTCGGTAAGCACTCATCATACCTAACAAAACGATCCCTAACTCGGCACACCTAGTACTCGGCGACCAGTTCCAATAACGATTACCAGATTACACCTTCAGGTCACTCCGTCGATTCCGGCGGTAAGGACTCATCATACCTAACAAAACGAGCCCAAACTCGGCACACCTAGTTCTACTAGACCAGGTGTTCCAGTATTAGTTACTAAAGTTCACTTTCAGGTCACTCCATCAAGTCGGGAGGTAAGGTCTTTTCATAACTGACAAAACCAGCCCAAAGTCCACAGCTAACTTCTTAGTGCCAGCAGAGGGCTCCCAGTGCAAAGCAGTCTCTAGAGTAGGTATTCGTATTTCGTAACTAAGTCTAATAACTCTATGTATTCTAGTATATTTTTGAGGTGTAAGAAATCAAAAACAAATTCGATCTTTCAAATTATCAAAATAATTTTATTTGACTACGATTCCCGCAGCCAACCGTGCGTACAGTTGTGTGCGTGACTCATGTCAATGTAATAGTTCGATTCTATATATTATATCAATTTTGTAAACGCGTCCTTAAAAAATCTTAACGTAAATACTGCGGCAAAAAAGAGCGACACGTCTCTACAGCAACAGGCCTCGGCCGGCAGTGACTGCACAGGCGTTTACGCAAACATCCGTACGTATTATTTCAGAAATAAGAATACGCGATTTAAGAAAAAAAAACTATTAGTTGGACTAAAAAATTAAAACACTATAACGTTAATATGTTGAATGTATCTAACAAAAAATCAGAATGATTGCATGTATACTAGTATGGTTTTTACTAGTTAAAAGAAATTTTTGGAGGTATGTTTGTGATTTTTTTCTATCGTGTTAAATTAGTGGTATCATGTTTTCAACACACCATCTAACTAGCATCCTGGACAGTATCATATATTTTCCTGGGTTTGTTTACTGCAGTGGATCATATACTTTGAGGCATTATAAAACTTGCGTTTAGGGTCATGCCTCGTCTTAAGAAACAACAGCGGTATCATCTCATCACGACTATTCTGTCAAGATCCCTGACTGGACACTGTTATCTAAAAGAGCACATGTCCATCCTAGAACTAAACAACTCAAAGATGTGCCGATTCTGATTGTGGACCCTTAATGCTCATCTGGGAAACTACGCAATTAGCCCAGAAGAAAAAGTGCAGAAAAAGTGACGCAGCGTAACGAAAGAGTGCAGCGGTGAAAGGGGTCTAAAGAGGTGAAATTTTGGGTTACCTACGTAATTTATGAATGGTAAGTTCCCTTAAGTTTAAATTT